TCCTAAAATCAACTGAAAAGCGCAAACCCACAAACCAAGGGCTGTATTTCAGTTTTCCATCTTTCTCTGCTTTGGATCAAGGAGTCTACAGGCAAAACACACAGCTGCAGACCAGGCAATCTGGCCCCTTAACAGTGGGACAGCGTCAGCCCTTCCTCAGCTGTGAGAATAGGTAAGAGGATTCAATATGCTGGTTTAGGACTGTGGGATGTACTGAAATCATAACTGGTTACATTATCGAGTCCATTATAATGACCTTTTGTGGCTCAACTCATTACAGGAGATTCCAGGTCCACTTTTAGAGTTGAGTAACTCAAAAATGGAGATCTGGATTGCTCACGAGCCAGCTTCCAGTTCAGGGCACTTGTGCATGGAGAGAAAGAGAGGTGACACAAACCACTAAATTAGACTGAAAACCAAGGTGAGTTTGGTGAGAAGAAAACTCGGCACTTGCCAAGGGGCTGGGGGAGCTTCAGCCTTGCAGATCTGCACCTGCATCTGGAATAGAACCCTCAGTTCCAGCTTATCTCTTCAGTGTCCACTTTCTCTTGCAAAACAAAGACAATTCAAGAAAACTACACGGTCTCTTCCTGGCTATACAGCACGATGGGAAAACCCTCCACATTTATTTTCCTTTGCCATCAGAAACACTGTGTTTGCTCTTCACCAAGCGTGATTCATTATGTGCAATGCCTAAATATATGAAGTAAAAGAAGTAAGTTTGCTTCAACTACACTTTTATCCACAAACTAGCTGTTTTGCGAATATTGAAAATATTACATTTTCCTCTAGACTGTAAAAAATGCACTACCTACACCCCACGTAAAGAACACATCTTTACAGAAAGAACGTGGGAAGCAGCGAGCGCCTCGGCTGCACCTTCAGCCCGCGCTGCCATGGCTGCTCTTCTGTCTCAAGTATTAATGCAGGAGTTTCTTCTGCCATCACCCCTATGATTGCCGGTGGCGCACCGTCCGGCAGAAGATACTATCCACGTGTGAGTGGCTCCTGCGTTGCTGCGATGTGACACACTACGTGCCGCGGTAGAGCCAGCACAGCAACCGCGAACGCCCCGTAAAGCCCCGCGCTTCCCCCCCGCCGCGTCAGCGCTCGGCTCTCGGCGACAGCGGCCGCCCCGCCGCGCGGGGGCGGCCCAGCCGCCGGGCCTTACCCATGGTGACGCTGTCCGCCGCCGCCATCTGCAGGGCGGCCAGGGCCGAGCCGGGCTGCAGCAGCACGATGCGGTACGCCGCCCCCACCAGCCCTGCAACACAGGACGGCGCCGTCAGCGCGGCCCGGCCCCGCCTCGCCCCCCCGCCGCCCCGGGCCCCCCGGGCCCCCCGGGCCTCACCCGCGGCGGCGCCGACACGCGTGGCGAGCCAGGTGCGGCGCGGGCACTGCTCGCCCTCGGGGCCGTCCCAGTAGCCCGCCATGGCAGCGCAGCGGCGCGGGCGCGAGCGCCGGCGAGATCTCGCGAGAGGACGGCGCCGCTCCGCCCGCCGCGCGCGGCGGCCCCTCAGGGCGGGGCCCGGGCCCCGAGTTCTGCGGTCCCGCCGAATCCGCGGGTCGCAAGGGCGGTTTCGGAGGGGGCAGCCCTGTGTAAACCTAAACAGCACGCTTGGGGTAGCTCTCGGGTTTTAGTTTGTCAGTGGTGGCTGGCGAGGTTTGGGTGGGTTTTTTTGTTTGTGTGTGTGTGTGTGAGAGCTGCAGTTACAGCTAAATAGTACTTGGATTATTCATGAATTTTCAAGGACTCTGATTCTCAGTTTATGTATACTGCTAGACTTGTACTTCCCGTTTTTCTTTCTGAAATAGATGCTTTGACGCCCTTAAGCCACACTGCAGCGTAGGCAGTAGGGTAGGCATTCATTTTCCACTTCCCGTTTTTCTAATAAAGACGGTCAGTGACTCACCGCCCTGCTTGCTCGGTGGAACGCCTTCAAGCCAAGCTCCTCCGGTTCCGTGTTCTCCACCACTGAACCAACTCCCAGCAGCCCAAGGGACGGGGTCCCTGGCTGAGCGGGCAGCTCAAGCTTTCTCTCACTGGCCTACTGCTCTTCCTCCTCCATGTGACAAGCACGGCCCATACTTCGCGCGCTCCCCCCACACCTCTCTTCTGGGAGAGGTTCCCCAAGCAGCCGGTGCCATCCCAAGGAACAGCCGCTTGTTGCCGGTGCTTCGCTAGCCCCGCAGCAGCACCGGTGAGGCCGCCTCAGCCTCAGCAGCGAGGGGGGAGCAGGGCACGGCGCTGCAGGGGTCTGGAACTCAGCCCTGGGCTGGGGCACAGGAGAGGGGGCTGCGGTGGCACCACGACGCGGGGTGGGGGGCACAGGCAAGCCCTCTTCCATCCCGAGCTGGCTCAAGGGCCGGGTTTAGGATGAGAGCGCACGGGAGCGTTAACGACGGGGGGAGGCTCAGCTCGGTCTCGTGCGGTGCCTTGTATCCAGCAGTAGGAGCGGGGCCACTGGTGCTGCCTCGTCCCTGCCCAGAAAAGGGGGCTGTTCTTACAAATGCAACAATCAAGTATTCACAAGCAGCTTATTAAAGGAAGCAGTTCAGAGGGCAGCTTTACTCTTCCTGCCCAGTCTTCCTAAGCACATCTAAGGGCTGTGTGACAGTTACAGCGAGCAGGTGTAGAAAACCCATGGCAGCATGGTGGCATGTGGTGCAAATGCTCTTTTCCCCATATAAACATACGGAAGCCACTAAGTCTTGCACAGGGTAAGACTCTACACCCTTCAGTAATGATTAGCATTCTGGGCTTTAGGCAGGTGCTAAAAGCTCCGAGTATTACAGGCAGTGGATTACATACCACTCCTTCCATGAACAAGTGAGGTAGGAGCGAGGTGATTCCTTACTTCTCCTTTGCAGCAGAGAAAGCGTGTAGCTGCCAGACACAGCACCTGGTTTTGTGCAGCTCCTGGCACACTGCTGCTATGCTGTATTTTTCAGAAGCCTGAGGACAGACTTCTGAATGCTGTAAGACACTTCCCAGGCAGTTGGTGCTCATTAGAGAACTATTACAGTAAGATATAACAGATAACTATGAACAGGGAAGTTCCACAGAAAGCAATCATCAATCTAGGTTCATAACCTTACTCTTAAAACACCTAACTTGACTCCAAATATTTTATGATGAACTGTAGACTATGGCTACAAACCAGGTGGCTAATACAGAGTATTAGTTCCCTTAACTCTTAAAGGGGGGGAACGACTTGCCATTGTACTACAAGCTGCAAATAACTTGGTTTCCTTCTACTTGTAACTTTTTTTAGAAATCGGGACAGAACCACCCACCAGCAAGTCACATTCAAAACATTTCCCCATCCTCCCCACTTTTGGAAGCTTTTTGTATGGCCTTACTCATTAGACCTCCTATCCAGATCTGAGCTCACAACCATGAACTCTCCAGAAGAGGAATTTTACCTTGTCTGCAAAATGGACTGCAATTAGTGAGATACTTTCAGGTGGTCAATACAAAAAGCATCTCCCATGTGTACAATCGGTAGAGCCCGAGGCTCGGCCTGGGCTGCTCAGGGAACTGCTACCAGCAGCAGTCCTCCAGCTGGGGTCTTGGCTGATACCGCCCAGTCTCGAACAGGAAGAGGACAGCAAAGACAACACTACTACTTTGCTTTTCCCTGGTAAGGTAGGCTACCAGAATTAAAATCAGGAATGGCTCATTTAAAATGTACCCCACATTCAATTCACAGATACCTTTAGAAAAGGGATTCACTGCCTACCCCCCAGCAACAGTATTACCAGTATTCTTTATGACAAATTCAGTTTTTGTATCTTTAAACCCTTGACAGGAGGTAGTCACAAAAGGGAATTCTGAATACCCTCTTTAAATGAGACACTTTTATTTACACAAATTATCTCTGAGCATTTACTTGCAAGATACCTGTACTATACCCCAGCAGCTAAGAATTGGCTTTTAAGACCCTAGTTAGCAGTTCTCTTAGCACCTCTGCTGCTCTGTACTAGCCTTCGGGGGGGGGGGGGGGGGGGAATGGACACGACAGACACACACACGACAGGGGGGGAACTGGGGAATTAACCTGGCAAATTAAGAGACTTTTATAATATTGTCTCATTTTATCTGCTACCTGCATAACAGACTCTACAGTTCAGCTTAAGCAAGTCAGTGCACAGAAAGACCAAAGAACCAGGGGAGAGAAGCGCACAGTGAAAAGTCAGTTTAATGAAATTGCATGACAAATTATGGCAGTTATCAGAATTGGAATTCCTAAAACTAGAAGATTATGGGGAAACATGGTGAATTTTCAAATATGTAACATGTTTCTAGAAAGGAAATAAACCATTTTCTACACTCACTGAGAGAACAAGAGGCCAGTCAAACTGCAGAATGGGACGCATGAGGAGAGTCATTTAATGGCAGCAATACTTAAGCAATGGAATTGGTACCTCGGTGACTGGGAACAGGGGGAAGAGTCATGACAAAGTTGGAGGTGCTTTTTATTCCTGCGGGCTTCTAACAGTTTGGAACATCTGCCCAGCCTGGTTTCAGTGGAGGACTGCTGAGGACTAGTTCATTTAGATCTTTCCCTGCCCTGTCTTCTCTGAAGTACATCATGCACTGGGAACCGGACGACGGAAGGACGTTGTAACTACGCATTTTCTTACCTTGATGGTTGTATCTCCTGTGGGTATAATATTACTTTTATGGATAAGAGGTTTACTTCTGGTTTTAGTAACACCACCGTTCTTGAAACATTTTCCCCATCAGATGTGTTCAACTTTATTACACTCTTCAGCGTCTTTTTTATTCTCATGGAAAATTTGAAAAGCTGTGCCCACATCAGTCAGAAGCAAGTAATTGCTAACAACATCCATACGTTAACAACAGACATAAGAGCAAAGATGCAGCAGAAGGGTGGTGCAAAGGGAAGACTGTTGTAAGAAGGCAAACCTGGTCATCAATCTCCCTTCTAGCAGCCATTGCCCAGCACAGGAAATAAAATGTCAGGCTTGGGGTGTTTTGTTTGCTTGTTTTCCAATAAAAGTTTTAATGTAGTTCCCACATACATTTTGATATGACAGTCTTACATAAATATTTCAACACACATGGGCATCATCTGATTTTACCTGTCACTAGTTTACTAAGGCTTAAAGCAGAGAGTGAAATAAGAGTTTTGCTTTGGCCTAACTAAATCTTGCTGTGCAGGGCCTTAACTCATCTATGACCAATTCTGTTAGTGGTTCACAGTAGTATTTTCCTCTTCACTATGAACATATATGCAAAACTTCCAGCTGAAATAAAATCTGTACCAGTAAATAGTTGCCAGATTTTTTTAGAATGCTGTAGGTGATTGTGTACCACCACTAAACTCCATCAGAACAAGCATACTTATTCCATTTTTCTGAATCTTCATGCACCAACAATTTCATTTTAGCTAAAGCACCTCAAAATTAGACTCTGCATAGACCCCACGAAGTTTGGGACCAGGAAATAACACCCGCTTCTCCACAGGTAGGCCCTGCTGACCAAGACACCTTATTAATTTTCCTTATGCTGACAACAACCAGCTTTATACTGCAAGGTTGTTTGAAAAGAGTAGTTTGAATCCGAGCACCCTGGTGTAAAAAGATCCAAGATTCAAAATGCAGATCACTTGTGGGTGGGTATTAAGAAACATGCTATGCTTCTGTTAGTGAGCTGCTTGAGAAGGGGTGCATCAGTAGATTTGTGCATGGTTAAAAACCCCGTAACTAAGGAGAAAAAACCCCACCAAAATGCAAAAAGGCCTAAGTGGACAATCCAGAGAAATCACAAATGCAGTGGCACAGCTAATCATTAGCCCTTTTTACTCCCCAGAAAAGTAATCCAAGATGTTCCTTTAAACAGGCTATCAGGAGAACCAAAGTACCTCCCTGCCCCAACCACTGAAGTCACCAACAACGGTTAACAACAGATAACAGGTAAGCACATGTTCTTGACTCCCAGTAAAGGAAAGTGTGTTTCATTAAAATAGAGGCAATAAGGACTGTTTTGCTATTTGGATAATTTTAAAGTTGCTTTTGTGCTAAAACCTGGATTTTCATTTTCAATTAATGCTATATTAAATGCTTCTTCCCTTATAGTTTTCTTTTAAATGGTACATTTTAGATCTCCTTAACCTACAGGAGAAAGAGCAAGCAAGTGAGAAATTATCTATCTGTAAACTATTTATGAAGGAAATAGAACAGTTTGGGGAATTTTTAGGCAAAGTGACCTGGTCAATGATCTTGGTAACTACCAAATTCCAACTTTGCTGGACAAGAATATAGCATATGTTTTAATAATGAAATAAGACTCAACTTTCACACAAAAGGCCCAAATGATGAGAAAACATCCAAAGCAAAAGGTGAGTTATGGTTACAGTAGGAGTACTTCAGAATTACACACAGGAAAACACATTCTTGCTTTTATTTTGGTGGAACAGAATACAATATCCTTCAGCCCAAACTATTCAAAGCTGGCAATATTACCTTTTTCTTCATGCTGCAAGACTTCAGGAAACAGAACAGGGAGAGGAAGGGTTAGAAGTTAATTTTCTATTTAAGGCCGTTAATTCAGCAAGATATTTAAAAATGTACTCAACTTTAAGCATGAATAGTTGCATTGACTTCAGTAAGATTATTCACATGTAGTTAAGTCAGGCAAGTGCTTAAATGGCTTGTTGAATCAAGCCATTAAATGAGAGCTGCTTTATTATACAGATTTATTTTAATGGCTGACAGAGCTCATTACATGAGCCTATTTTATTATTCCAAGGGCTAACAGCTGTTTCCTCATCAACTTTTCTGAAGGTGTTACCTGTATGCCTCCTACACTTTACTGTAGCCACAGAAACATACAATTGTATGCAACATCTATCATATACAGTGGCTTAGCTCTCCCTTAAATAGTAACAGAAAAGAACAGTACAAAACAATAGTTTCACTTTTTCAACACACAAGAGCATCTTATTGAAAAACTAAAATAAAAAAGTTATCACCACAATATAAATCCCCAAATAATAATAATGAAATGGGAAGAAAGAAAAGGAGTTAGCAAAACATCCTGTGGACTTTAGAGTCTCTTATTACCGCATTACAAAAGCTTTTCTGGTGAACCACAACGTTTTGTTTCTCTGTTTACAAACCCACTAGACAGGGAACAACAGTGTCCACAACCTACACTGGGATCAAAAGGTAAAAACATAATCTGCCCCATCTGAAATCCAAAAAGAGAATGAACCCAAAGGGGCAGTCAGTGAGCATGGGAACTGGTGAGGACACTGCTTCCCTGCAGGAGGCAGAAACGCGTAAGGGGGAGTAGGGGTTATGAAAGCAGAATTCAAGTTGGAATTGTGTTGGAAAGTTCTCTCGGAGGCCTGCAAGACATGAACTACTGAAGAAACAGTCAAAAGGTCCCAATGAAAAGCTGTGACAAGCTGTGATGTGCCATTTCGATTACAAGGAAGAGGGGAAATGTTTGGTTTTTTTTTGTTTGTTTGTTTGTTTTGTTGTGGGGTTTTTTGTTGGTGTTTTTTTTTTGTTTGTTTGTTTGTGGTTTGTTTTTTTTTTTTTGGCTCATCAATATGATGAGCTTTCACATCCGAAACCACATTCAGGTAGTTTCCAAGTCTGCTTTTTTTGTGTGGAATCTACTGATCCAGACCAAAAAACCAAACAAACAGAACAGGGATGCACAGTTCTTAAGTCCTGGAGCCTTCAACACTGCCTGAAATAGTAGCTGGCCTGGGGTATCCAGAGATGCCTGCAAGATGGTGTTCACAGCAGCCTTGCAAGCAGATCGGCTCACATCTGCTATGTGCTACTGACATTCTGCCCATCACCTTCATCATTAGGACCTGAAACAAAGAAAGTAGTTTTCTGTGTCATAAGAAATACCTTTTTTTTTCTTGCCTTGCAATAAGAGACCTTACCTGAGAATCCTACAGAAATCTCAGATTTAGGATTTCAATGGCATGAGAACTGTAGAATTCCCCCTCCCCCCACCTTACATCTTCCCTCTCCAGATTAAGTTCTGTCCACTGTAGAATTTTACGTTCTTGACTAATCTGGTCTGGGGATTCCAGTAGCATCCCAGAGCCTAGAAGCTCAGTTTTCAGCCTCTTCAAACCACCCACTGCTTTTTTGCATATTAATTTCTCCTTTTTTTTTCCCCCTGCAGTGAATCAGGATGGAGCACTTGTCTCTGTCAAAGGTTGGATGTTCTACACCACAGGAAAGCAAAGCACAGATGACTCCCAAGTTGGGAGTGTGGAATGAAGCCTTCCTCAAACTGAAAACTAGTGCTTTTCTTAAATTATGGTCTCCTCATGTACAACTAAATTAATTACACTCTTTCCACACCCCTTTGTAAACCTTCTGCTTTCCAAACAGCACTCTACTCAAGGGTCTGGATCCTGTCTGCTAAAAGTACCTGATACAACTGCCTTGGGCTTTTACATGCAAGCCTTGGCCACAGAGGCAAAAATGCAACTCAGCCAAACCCTGTAAACAAAACCAGAACTGAAGCACAGGTAACTTCTGCTAAACTGTGACATGTAACTCAGATGGAAGCAGCACAGGGGCCTTTTTATCAGTTTGAAGTAGCAAGAAACAGTTGCATTCAAAAAAGTCAATTCATGCAACGAGTCTTATTCCACAAGCACCTGTGAAAAGTATCAGGTCAGAAGTACATCTATAAGATACGATTACAGAGAGAAGTCTGCCTTAAGGAATGACAGAGAAGAAGGTATGGAAAACAGGAAACATTTTCTTGCTTACCACTTCCAGCTGATCCTGAAGGTGCAATGACATCATCATCACTGTCCTCCTCATTTGATTGTGTTACTTCTGGCTCAGGTGCTACATTCTTGACTTCTTGCTCTTGTTCCACTCTACTCCGCAAGGCCAAGATCCGATGGTGTAATGCAGCATACAACTGCCCTGTATCTTTAGAGCTTGCCTACATTTTTTTTTTTGTTTTAATATTCAGAAACAAGAAAAAGGTGCAAGGAATTATAACACAGTAAAACAGTGCTCACATAATATACACCAGTCATTACAAATTTCACAATCTAATTTTCAGTTTTCTTATATAGGGTTTTTCAAACTGGGTCAGAATGGGTTGTGGTATGCATAGCAAGATGTTAAGATATACTAAACTGATGGCAAGAGTATATTCTCTGCTCAGCACCAACTTTCTCTGGCTAACATAACCAGTACTAGCTGATTTTATATAACCTTCTTCACCCAGAAATCACACAGCTTTCCTGACCCCTCCTAAAAGCTTATGCTAAAAAAAAAAAAAAAAAATCTTTAATTAAAAAGTTTGTCTTATACAGATTTTTCCAGGTTTGTCAATCACTCAACTTCACATATCACTTAATGGTAATCAAGTCACTTAATTGTTTCATGATGCACTGACACAAAGTTTCAACATAAGATAAGAAAACTGAATGGACATGCAGTCAGGCAGGTGATTATTCCAATTTTTTAATTTTTAATTTTTTTTAAGCACGCTCTTTTTATACTGGTCAGCTGTTTCAGAGGGGAGCATTTGTGACCACCTGCTCAAGAATATATATTTTTTTTACTCTCAAAGGTTAATGGCCACTTTATGCTTTCAAAAGAGTAAATTTTTAGGCCTATCGAGCTAAGTACTTAATGGACATTATTTAAAAGGAAATACTATGAAACTGTCTTCACTATGTCAATTAAGCCCTCATATTAACTATTACCATTACCCCAAGCTAACTGTAAGGTAACAATCCCAATTCTCAGATTCTTTCACAAAAAATTGTTTCCATCCTCCCCGCCTGTCACTTAAATCTGTCACCTCTATATCTGCAAAGTTCCCCTGCAAAGTGCTGTAGTGAATAAATTATTCCATACAAGATACTTTTCAGCAATACTCAAATCAAAAGTGAATAACCTGACGACAGTTTAACTCAAACTTTTCATATATAGAAAAATGCTGAGAAATATTTATCCATTCATTTGACTGATTTTTTTTCATCAATGAATATTTGGTATGATTAAGTTCTACTCTGGGACTCCAGATCCTAGTCTTACAAACCTAATGTCACAGGGGAAGCCGATCATTGGTTGCTGTTCTCTATTTCTGATCTGTAAGAACACAATTCTTTAGCAACCTGTTGTGCAGAATTTGTGTTTGTCAAAAGAATGTGTTCAGACTTTTCCAAATCTTAAGTGCTCTTAGCCAACATTTGGGAATGTCCTTCCTCTCTTGCTGACTATATCATGATGTCCCAAGCATTTTAGTAATTCTAATTAGGATTGTTGTTTCCCCATTTAGCAAGCACAGAAATCAATTTCACTGTCCTGCTACTGCTTGGAATGCTCTGTATTAAAAGAGAATAAAAGTTAAAATGTGTTACCCTTAACTACTAACACAGTGTTCTTGACAAATACTTAGTGCTTCACTTCCAGTGAGCACCTATACATCCACCCATGCTGCAGACAGACAACGACAGCTTTCCTGTGCTAGAAGTTCTGGCAGATCTAATTTTGGTTAAGCTGTTACATAGAATCCTATCAAATGCCTATAACCCTTGATAGCAAAAAATAATTTGCATTAATCTTATACTACAATTATAATCTCAGTAGGCATGGAACAGATCTCAACAACATGGTCAATGCTTTAGACAATCTGGCTTCCTAGGATGGCCTTTCATGTGGAATTTTTTCACAATTAGTAAGGCTTTTCAGACAAGCAAAGTCTGCCAAGCCCTTTGTCTTTGGGGGGTGGGTGGTGCTAAGGAGGTAGGCTGCAAAGAAGAATGGGAATGTTACCTCAACTACAATTTAAGCAAGCACCAATTTTAGTAGGAAGGTTAAGATGTAAACAAAACCCAGTACTCACTGATATAAGAAAAACTTTAACTCCCTGGTCCTCTGTATCCATGGCGGTGATCCGGATACTCTTCTCACTTGCTTTATCAATCTGCATCTGAGCCCAGAGCTTGGTATTTAAGATTAATCTGAGACTCCCCTGAGTCCTCATCACTTAAAGCCAACATACAAGATCAGTTAGGTGGAAAACGACACAACAGGAAGCTCAAAACAGCCAAGATGGCTTTTTATTGTATGAAAGTTTAAGTCTCTTTACAAATAATATGAACAGAAAGCCCTTAAAACAGGAATCTTGTCACAACTGTTAATCAGAAGAATGTAGGCTATTAAAGATTATTCAGACATGTCTAAAGATACTCAGTCCAAAGCCTTATATGTTAATACATCAAAGTTCAGTAGTTGGATACGAGCTGATAATCTCAGGGTAATGCCCATTCCTGCCAGTCTGAACAATTGTGCACTATTCAGAAAGACTTTCCCCACCACTAGCACTGAGTCCCAAAGAGCAAAGAGCCCAGATCTGAAGAACGTTACCATAAATTTCTAGTCAGACAGTCTAGTTGCTAAATACAGCTTGCTTTTATGGGGATAAAAGTAACTGGAACATTTGCTACAATAGGAGGATATTGAAAGATACTCTTTTTGGAGGAAATGGTCATAAATTGAAACAAGAGAAAAGGTCCAAACTGCTTCTGAGTTGCTGTAGCTAAGACACAGCCTAAAAGTGGATGCTGCTGCGTGTCCCTGAAGTATCCTATGAAAATAGCACTGACTATCATCCAGTACCTCATTTCCCCTGGTTCCTCTTACCCAGACGAGACTGTAACGTTCCATCATCTGTTGAGGCCATATCATTGAGTCTCAGAAGTCCTCGACCTCTTTCCACCCAAGACTGAGAGTTTTTATCAAATACAAACAGCTTGCACTGAATCTGCAACAGAAAATATCTCTATAGTATAGTGGTTGATTGAAGTAATAATATATTTCGTATTTAGTCACCTACAGCTGGTTAAAAAAATTCATATTCCATACTGAAATTATAAACTGTTTATAACTGTGGAAGCCAAAGCAGTCATCCTCTCTCTTGCAATAAATTCCTCAAAATATGCTGTCTGGTTTCATAAGGTTTTATTAACGAAAGCTTTATGTTCTTAAAGAATACTCGTGTTCGAGATCAAACAAAAAACAGTTTTCAGATAAGTTACAAACTTTCACAAAGGAAACTTATTGTGGTAAGAGACTTGGTAAGAGTCATCTATAGTCTTAAATCAGTCAATTCTTTTAGAAGCTGTAGCTGCACTCTGCACCAATGAAAGCGGTACTTGTTGCTGGGAAGACCCAGAACAATGAAAGCAAAGCAAAATTCTTCCTGTATTGAGGAAGAAAGGATGAACAAACGTGAGCTCATTATCAATCCACAAAGCCTGACCCACACAGAGTCATGAATAAACAAGAACTATTTTTCCTGCCTTTCTGGTTCATCAGTTTGAAAAAGTACACCTTTTGTACTTTCCAGTGGTAGAACTGTTCCTGCTTCCCATAAAAGCTCCCTTTTTCTTGCCCTGTCAAACATCTCTACTTTATATACCCCACTCTAGTCCATCTTCATTGTCACCACTGAGGTTTCATACATCAAACTGTCACCACTTAAGATCCCCACATACGTGCACGTACTAGGTGGAGAATATACTTCCACTTTTGTTCCTTCTGTTTCTCTTATTTTCTGCACCACAGAACACTCTGTATAACTCTATATACTCAATTTCTAGAACATTAACATAGTTCTGTCTGTACAAGTCCCATTCGGGAGTGCATTAAAGTTCACAGGGAAGAACAGAAGTTAGGCAAGAGGTCTATTACAACATATTCATGCAAATCAGTCCTCTATTAAGTACACAACTGCTAAAAGTTGTGGATTTCCTAGGTGAAACAGAACTCTCATCTCTTCAGTGTCTTGTTTGATTACATGAAGCACCCAGGAACAGGGAAGTACCAGAACAACTAAAGACTTTTCCTGTCTGGTAAAAAGAAGTCTGAGAAGACAAACGTTACAGATTATTATTTTGTAGGATTATACAAGCAATATGCATCAGTTACTGACACAGTGCAGCTGTTTGGTGTCAAAACAGACCAGCATGTGTTAAGAACAAAAAGCAATCCTTAAAAAATAAGACCATTCAAGTGCTGAGAAACTTAAAAGATCAAGAAAAAACCCCTGTAATTGGAGGACAAAAAGAGGAAAAAGATATATGTACAACTCAGTTTTACACAAAAACCCTGCACATTTTTCTTAAGGACATACTGAAGTTGGTAAGTTATTTAAGTTAATGAATAACTACAAAGTTAAATAAATCATGATTAAAATCAGGAGTCTAAGTCATGATTGAATGTCCTTCTAAAACATCAGTAATTCAAGTACCTCCTGAGTACTGCTTTATGGTTTCTGCTACGCAAGAAGCCAGACTGCTGGCATAATAGTCCATTCTGAGTTTTAAAAAAATCTTCAGTAGAACAATAATTAAAGAACTTAATATTTAGTTCATTTAAATTTTCTTCAAATAATACTTTTGTAGGAGATAGAAGTTTTTGTGTGATGGATTCAATAAAGTATGCTTAAGATTTGACAGGATGGCCCAAATACTAAAATTTATTCAGAAAGAGGAAATTAAGAAACAAGGGAAGGATCTGATAATAAGTATCCAAAGTTTGCATTTCAACACAAAGAAGTACATTAGAGATATAGAGGATAATCGAGTTGTAGGGAATCAGGTGGTGTGCATTCACTGGGCATCCATATGAATCCCCCCATACACTCAAAACTCCTCTACTTTATCCCTTTCTTACCTGTAACACATTACTTTCTGCTTCCTCCCCAGTAATCACTTCTACCTTCGCCAATAAACACTTCCTTGCTGTTGCTTTAGTATAGGCTGCTGCAGACTCTGCCAGTGATTCTGAAATATTATTAGCTGAACAACATTTTGAAAGTTTGAGAATTATTAGCATATATTTTTGTAAGACTTAAAGGTCTCACACAAGTATACCAGAATTTGGAGAAATAAAGTACAGAAGACAGGCATTAATAGAACATTAAAAATAGGATTGGAATTTAAAGCAGAATTTAAAGCTTGTCTTTTAAGACTTATTTTAAAATCACAAGAAGACACAAGGGACCGAAGAGGTAAGTTACTGAAGAATTTTGTCCCTGCATATAGTATTTCAAAACCCTTGCTAACATGTGGACACCTACATATGTGGAGTTGCACCTGCACTGATACTGCTACCAGCTGTACAGTTGTGCTTACACACATACAGCACAACTAATTTTCCAGTTTTATTTTGGTTTGCAAGCAGGTTGCTGGAGACAGCCATAGCTCCCAAAATTTCCAGAAAATCTTGCCAAACTGAAGTCACAGAAGTCTAGAATCCAGCAAAGAGTTCTTGGTTCAAGCAACACACTGGGTGCACCAACTCAATACAATATACATTTGACTCAGACATCCACTCACTGGAAGTATATCAGAATTGTTAAAAAACAGTGTGCCACATTTCTTCTACACTCTGTAGGTCCAACTACCTGCTCTGTTAATTCCCTATACTTTTTATTCTGTTGAAGGTACTTCCAAGTACTGCAGAACCACCATGAAAAAGACAGTGTAGCCTGTACATGTTTAATATTAAAGACAAAAGGACAAAAGTCTATAGCACCCAGCACATCACCTCCCGCTCTCCTACTCTGTATCTTTGGTTACAACAGACAGTAAAGGCAACATAAAAATGTTATGTTTTTATAAAGTAATGAGATACTGAAAAAATGCAATAATTTAAACAAGGATTAACTACCATTCATAAAAGAATATTTTATTTTTCACCTTTCTCCGGTGTGGCTTCCTGAGAAGATGATTCAGACCCAGACTCTGTAGCAGTGTTCTCCTTATTACTCTCAGCACTACCTTCATTTGATTTTGGTGGACTCTATCACAAAAAGAAGAGGTGGTAAACAGAAGAGAGAAAGCATACACTAATTTTGCAGAACAAGACTAGTCATCAACTACCGAGGGAAGTCCTAGCATTTATAGGCCAATACAGCACAAGAAGAATACCACAGATGACATGTTTTCACAGCAAAAGCTATCCTACTACCACTCCGCCAAGGAATTGAATGGAGTGTGACCTGAAAACCCATGCAAATTATTTTCCCCTGAACTGAAACCAAATTTCAACCCTTATTTTTAAGTCATGTTCACCAAAGCAAACCTATTTCAGGTACAGTTCAACTCAAGGCATACTTGACCGAGCTCCCTCCTCAGTGGTTAGGATAGGTACGAATGCAGAGCATTCGGTGTTTCCCTTTTATACCAGTACAGCAATAAAAACAACAGTATGAAATAGTGGGGCACGAGAAGTTATACCTTAGGGTGGTATACAATGAACAGAGAATTTCCTGAATCATCCCTCAGTACCGAGGCAGCTGTCTTACTGCTGGACTTGAAATCCCGTCATCGGGGGAGTCACCTAACTCAACTTTTCTCAATTTGGAGGACAGCAAACAAAAACAAATACATATATTGAAGACAACATTTAAAGCAGCAAGCTGTGCCATAAAGTACAGGGACTTGAGAACCACATGTACTACAGAGAAGGTACTCAATCTCCTTACACTGGAAGAGCTTGGCAGGGAAATCCTGCAGAGCACTCCTGATGCAGACAATAGCTCAGAATGAAACCCCCACGCCGCACTCTAAATAAGTTACCTACAAAGGAAACCACTGAAAGAAAACCATGCTCCAGTGGCAAGTGTAATTAAAGGTTCTCAAAATTCCCGAGTGAGAATCCATAACACAAACTAGTCACAAAATTACAACATCTCATACACAATGGATACTCACTAGGACTCGCTCACTCATGTTCTGTCCAAAAACAAACTTGTTGCTAGATGCATCTGCACTGTTTGTAGAGTTCTCTACACTGAAAAACAAAACAAAAAATGGTTTTATAAGTCAGGAAAATACATGCTTATCTTCTACTGATAAAATTCCTCAAAATGTGAGCAATTGTCACTGGCTTTAAAAATTAAGCACTGGTTGACACGGAAACATAAGCACAAATTAATTCAATTTAGTGACATGAGAGCTTATACTGGTTTTACAGAATGAGAATTCTCTCAGAATGATGGCGGATGATTTTGTTACTGTAAATATCTTCCCTTTAGATATCTAATAACAAATTAAGAATGCTGAATGCTAAGCAAGGGCTTACTGTTTAATCATACAACATACTTTTTTTTAAATCATATTCTACGTGCACAAACTTGAACTACTACACATTTGAGGTCAATTTTCTCAGAAAGGGAAATAACACACAAAACCACTTGCAATATAACTAAAGTAAAGGTAGCAGGGATGGGTAATGACTTTTATTAGACTAGTTGAAACGCTACAGCCTCCCCAAGAAACTTCACAATCAAATCTCATCCCTCACATCTTCCTTATAGAATAAGCATCCTCCTCCCATGAAGGATTTTTATTAGCAGATTTTAAATCCCATTTAGGAAGGACAATAGTTCTACCATTTTACAGACTCAAAAAAAACTTAAGAAGTCATTGTTCATCTGCCTTCCCTTCAGGCATGCCTCTACGACATCAGCATGCTTACTAAGAGAATATGCAAAATGTAGACCACTTGAAAAATCAAGCCTATGTGCATTTCAGTAAGTTTGGAAAATGGGAGCACATATGTCACTATATGATTCAAGCAGAACCAAACAAACCTTTAAATCGTGCTTATTCATACGCGCCCTCTATATTGCTCTGACAAGATTATTATCATGCACATTTAAACTATTCTTCCCCTTATCCATATCACATACAAAACACATTGAACAACAAAAATACTGCACAGATCTCTACAAGATTCTACTGGTAGCTCCAACTTATTCCATCACTTTCTTTCTAATCATTCATGAGAAGCTTCTCTCATCTTATGCTTCCTAGTTTTCTGAAGAGGCATTGGTGAGGCCATGGCCAAGTAAATGATGTCAAATGCATCTCCCTTGACCAGACGATTGAGGATTCCCCCAGATTTGAAGTTTGCAATCTCATTCTTCAGAAGCTTATGTTCCCACTGACCCAGTATAAGCCCTGCATCCAATAAAGAGCAAAATCACAAATAATTCTGAACACAAAATAAGGGCAACTGTCCTAGAGGTTTCCCTGTACTCTCACCTGGAACTGATGTACTGTAGAAAATAATTTGTTGCAGAAGGTACATCTGATGTAGGCAGGCCAGCATTCTGCACATCAGCAGTTTCATCACTTTCATCTCCTAGCTAGAAAAAGAACAAGTATATATTGACAGTTTGAATTACTGACCACAAAATTTTCAGCTTGTTCTTTCTCGAAACAAAGTTCCATCCACAAACGCTTTCTACAAGCCTATGTCCCAGTATTACTTTCTTTTGTCATGCTAGCAAACTTGCGCAAACCTGTCTTCAGCAGGAGGTACTAACAATGCAACTCAATGACTCCACGCACAGGTTTGAACACAGGCTGCCCTATTTTTCTTTTCTCACCTTTTCTGTAAAGTCTTGGTTACATGGGAACATCTTAGGAACATATTTAAACTTAATTCTGACCCAAAAGGTAAGAGAAAATGAAAAAAACATTCCATTGCACTGAGCTTTAGATGTTACCTATGACTGCAGTAGATGCATTTACTTTTGAAAAAGCTTCTTATGCTATTAAATGTCTATAAGACCAGTTTTACTAAATAGCCAACTGAACTGTGTTCACAGCTTCTAATTCTGCATATATATGTGGAGGTTTTAACCCTGTTATATAGTGGCTTCAAAGTATTTCATGAACAGTGTGTAATGCTCATTCCAACAAATAATCTATTCCCCTGCTTACCCTCACTTACATACATCAACTCTTAGTCAAGATAACAAACATGTGTTTACCTTAACTCTATCTCTTAAGTTTTGCCCAAATACAAATGCTTGCTGTGCATTGAGTTCCACCTTCTCAGAGCCGTCATCATCTGAAGTGTTGTTGGACTCTTTTTTCTGATATTCTCCTGCCTAAAGAAAAGAAATTGGAAACTTTACCCTAAGTAATTGAGTTTCTTTAAACAAAAACCCCTGTATTATGACATGGTGAGTCACACAGTCTTTTACAATGACAAGTCAATAACATCTGCTGAGCTACAAGACAGATTTTGCATTATAGAAAAAAAAAAAAAAAAAAAGTCCTCTGTTGTTGTTCAGAGCATCTTTCTTAATGAATCAGAGTAGTTGAGGTTCAAGGGGAGCACTAACAATCATTTGGTCCAAACTGTGCTCAGAGCAGCATTAACTTCAAAATTATGCTAGGCTACCTGAGGACTCGTACAGTTAAGTCTCAAAAAAATCCAGTGATGGCAGTTTTACAGTTTGGCAGCCTGCTTCAATGTCTGACCACACTAAATATGATAGTTCTGTCCTAATATCCAGCTGGAATCCCCCCTTCCCCACAATTGCAGCCTCTCATTTGTTTGGTAGGCACTTCCAAGTCTCGTTCTACCTTGCTACAGCCCCTCACCAGATAGTTGAGGACAATCCAATTCCCTTCTAGTCCAAGCAGAACATACTTAGCTTTCTCACTCTCTTATCAGACATCACGCACTTCAGCTACTAGTCATCCTGGTGGTTTGTAAATATCTATCTTGCACTGGTAAGCCCCAAACTATACATGATACTCCTGGTGCCACCCGCCAGTGGCAAATGAAGGGGAATAATCACTTTTCTGAACCTAATGATTGCAGTCTTAGTTAATCAGCACAGTATGCTGTCTTAATCAACAAAAGGCTGCACTGCTCATTCATGTTCAACTTGCTGTTCACTGTTGCACAGAACATTCAGGTTCCTGAACCTTTTGTCCTGCTAAGAACCTTCTTCTATGCTGCACCTCTGCAGCCTGCTCTCCATTAGAGGCTCTAACCTTTCACTGCAGCTGCCATGGCAGTATTTTCCCCTATTATTCTCATACCATAGTTCTCATCCCATTACACTCAGGGCCTTGCACTTGAAAACCCTTATAGTGTTGTTGGAAAGCAATTGCAACCAGCACGGAAATTCATCCCCTCCTTCTCATTTCCTACCCTGTAGCTTCTAATTTACATTAGAAGACCCAACAATATGCTTGCAAAAAGCCTAACAACTAATCGGCACAGAGCAGCTGCCTCAAAGCATGCTCCAATCAGCATTAACAGCATCATAAGCAAAAAAAAAAAAAAAACACCCAAAAAAACCCAACAAACAAAAACCAACAGTAGGAAGTTAGGAAGTTTGAGCATATCCTGATGAAAATTATATAGTTACTATAGGAAGACTATTATGGGGTATCACCTGCTCCACTGGAGAGGACAACCAGGGGAAGATTCCTGACTGGGGAACCTCTGTCACTTGTCTTTCTGGCTGGCCCATGGGAAGTTTTCCTCTTTCTTTCTCCTTTTGCTCTCCCCTCCTCCAAACTAACTCACCCTTAGAAGTAATACTATCAGCTACAGACCCCACTAATAAATTCTGTATATGAAAATTTGTCTTAACATACTTCATGCAACACCAGGAACTCCAAGCACTTGTTTGAATAGCTGTTTTCTAACCAGTTACTCTCCAGTTTTTGTGACACATGGGTTAACTCACCCCAGGTACCGGACTTTGCATTTATTGACCATCAGTTGGTTTCTCTTGGCTCATTTTTCCAGCCTGCTGAGATCCCTCTGATCAGCCTTGCCTTCCAATGTTGACTATTTTCCCCTTCCCTCAGTTTACTGGCATCCACAAAGTTAACAAGATTCACTCCACCTTGCCAGGTTGTTCATGTAAACATTAAATAGTACTGACCTCAATAGCAGCCCTAAAGGAATGCCTCTAGTAACTGATCACCCATCAAACTTTCAACCACTGACTGCTACCCTTGGTGCTCACTGGTTCAGCCAAATTTCCACCTACTTTTAAATTCCACCCAACCAGTACATCCCTTTCCAATTTGGCTATGACAATGATACTGGAGACTATCCATGTCAAAGACCTTGCTAAAGTCAAAACCAACAAGCAGTGCTCTCTGCACAGCCAATCATCTCATAGGGAAAGAAAACAAACAAGTTGGTCACCATGTTTTATCCATGCTTGCTGCCCTCAGTCACTTCATATCCCTGGACTCCTTCACTAGGAAGGGAGAGGAAGGGGCTGAGCAGTTTCTATTTCCCCAGAACATGTCTTGCCTTTCTTGAAAATGTATGCCATGTTCTCTTCTTCCCCAGAAACAGGGACCTCCCATAGCACATTTTGATAATAGGGAGTGGTCTCACACTGACAGCCAGCTCCCTCAGCACTCATGTCTGGTCCCAGGGACTCGTATATGTCAAACTTTCTTAGACAGTCCTTAAGTAAATTTACTGTAATAATTCACTCCCCCAAACTTTCCCTATGAAAAGGGACCTGGTAGACACTTCTCCAGTAAAAGCAAAGACAAAGGCACTGACCCCTCACACATTCCTTCCATGTCCTTCATCACTAGGTTCCTTTCAACATTTGGCAGTAGGCCATCATCTTGCCTTTGCTGCTAATGCACCAGTAGAAGCCCTTTGAACAGCCTTTTCATCTTCGGTCATTTCCAACTCCAGATAAGCTTTGGCTTTCCCAGTTCTCTCCCCAGACATCCAGGCAATCCTTGTGTACATCTTGACTTTTCTCAATTTATGTACACTCCAAGAAGCTCCCAGTTCATCCACGCTGGCCTCCTGCCACACTTGCACAATCCTGTACATTGGGATAAACTACTCATTCTCTGAGGTAGTTGTCCATAAAGGCAACAAGCTCTCCTGAGCCCTTCTGTCCTTCAGGATCCTACCAACAAGCTCAATCAACAAGCTGAAGTCTTCCCTCCTGAAGTTTGGGTCTTTATTCTGGTACTTATCTTCCCTGCTTCCCTCAGGATCTCAAACTCCATCTCATAGCTGCTGCAATCACAGCTACTCTCAACCTTTGTATTTCTAACCTGTTCTTTGCTGTGAATACCACGTCCAGCTGAGTACCGCCCTGGTCAACTTATCTAACATCTGCAAAAACACCTGTCCAGCTTATTCCTAAAATCTCCAGGAGTCTTTCTACCATGACATGTTGCTATTTTATCAGGTGTCAAAGTACTTAAAGTTCCTCTTTAGAATCAAGGTCTGCAGTTGTGAAGCTTCTAGTTCTCCAAGGACTTTAGCTACTTTCTCTAGATCAGTCCAACTCTAGTGAAAGTTCACCTTAATCTCCCCCTTGTTGACTTCCCTTCTGATCTTAACCTGTAAAGCCTTGACTGACACAGCACCTTTCCCAAACCAAAGCCTCTGCATACAAGCAGCTTCTTTAAGCGTAGCAGAACCCACCTCCCTCCTTGTCTCTCCTCCTTTACTTCCTAAAAAGTCCGTATGTGTCCAATGCAGTGCTCCAGTTGTCCAAGTGAACCTTCTGTATCTGTGATCCCAGTGAGGTTACAGAACTGTCACTGCACACAGATCGCCAGTTCCTCCTGTTGGTTTCTCACGCAGGGTGTTGTTGCCCACAGGTGCTTCAGATGGGCTCCAGCCATGGCACTTTCCATACATATTGCAGAGGGGAAAGAAAGCAGCAGGAAAACACTGGATTGGGTCCAAAGCAGTTTTGCAAATCCCATTTTATGTTTAAGGGACATAACCTAGCTGTGTCATCTGCCAGATTCTAACTCTGGCATTTCAAAGACATCCTCTATCTGCTGGTAGTCAGAAACAGTCATCCACCACTTAATGGTACAGAGTAAAGGAGCATTCTACTGAACAACAGGAAAAATCACTAGCCTAGGATCTCTTTAACAGGTCCTCCACCTTCTCAATAAGGATCACTATCTCCTTGCTGCCAAAAAGGCCAAGAGATGCATAGGAGGCTTGAACAGCTGCCCATCAAGCTTTCCTGTACACCTGATTACTTGCAGTCACCAGACTTTCCCACCAATCAAGGGAGGCTGAATAGAAGGCTGTACCTTGTACCCATCTAAGATCTATATTGCTTAGGGCTCTTGCAGTTTCCTGAGAATTTTCAGGACAGAGACAAGACCTAGCCCAAATAGATACAGGTTGCCACAGAGATGCTCAAAGTAGAACCACCATCAGAGAGGACATTCCCATTCTGCTACCTTGTATAAGCACAAGAGACATCAAATAATATTTTTTTCTGCCAGTAAAATAAGACCTGACTCACATCTGCTCTAACAACAGCAGACAAGGCTCACATATAACTGCAAAACACCACATACTTGCCCTCACAAGGAAGCTTTCTCTGTGGTACATCAAATCTATGCCACAGATATGCAGATACAATTACTAATATGAAAATTCTAATTCCAGAAGTAACCATTCACTCTTATCACACAATCTAATATTCTGCATAGAGACTCCAGCATTTAACACTACTACGTGAACTCCAATTACTTATAGGTGTGCTAGAAAGCTTCAGGCAGATGAAGCTGACTACAAATGCCAAGACGTAGAACATCCCACCACCCTCCTTAAATGTTCAGTTATGAAACTTCATACCATTTAATACTTAGCTTTCAGCAATCCTTACCACCTAGATTTAAGAGCTTTCTCCTATCGGAAAACTTCCTCCCAGGTCAGTATTTCTGGTCTTTGATTTAAAAAACTCAGGAGGACTTTTGGTTGTTAAAAATGTATAGGGTCTCCCTAATGACATACACAAAGGTAAAAAGCACGTCCCACAAAGACTTCATACTGATCCATGCAATTAATTCACTTATTGCTAATTAATTACGACAGTAGTCTTTCACTAAACCTCAGAAAAAAAGCCCTTCACACTTGAAGTCCTTTCACTTAGATAGTCAGACTTCAAAATTGAGACTTCCATTTCAAGTAAACCATTGCATACTCTTGCATCGTTCACAATACAACCTCTATGCTCAATGTGCCATCAAAATCACCCCACTGTTTAATGAAGCTACCAAAAAAAAACAGCCCTAAAATACCACTCAAAACCCACACCCCCTCAAAATCCCCAAACGCCCTCCTCATGCTCTCAGTCAACATATCTTAAGATGCCAACAGTTAGCTCAATACCTGCAGGAATTAAAGGATTGGACACACTTCATACAGAGCAGGGTAGGAACTGTGTCATTACTTTCCTTTCAAGGTATCAAATAAACAACTTTTAATGCACTTAGATGCCTTTTCCTCTAGCTGAAGCTTTTCAGCCCCTTATTACCTGCACTCTCCCTCCACCATTTCCTGTAGGGCACTTATTTGCTGCCTCTGGGTTTTTACCCAGTACCAGCTGCTGTCTCTAAGCTTCTTTGTGTTACTCACTCACTTCAGTTGCCTGTATGCTTTCCATCCTCACATTTCCCAACACCATTCCACATTCAGTTGTTAGAAATCAAGACAACACCAGTAAAACCATCATCCATGGGCCAGGGATCACTTTTCGCTCGGCAGTCTAAGAAGGAAGGCTGAACATGTGGAACAAACTGCTCAGTTTGCCCAGCTCAAAACCAAAGCCTTTTCAGATGGGAAGAATTCAGTAAATGCTTCCTAGGCTTTGGCCTGACAGAAGCACCAGTCAGACCTGGCAAGAGTATGATATATTTCTTCGTGCAATCCGATCAGATGAAAAAGCAGTATTCTAACTATCAGGCAGAACCAAGATACCCAAATTACAGGAATTCAATATCTATGGTAGAAATGGCATCACTCAAGCAGCAGTGAGATTTTACAGCAAGGCTAGAAATAAAAGTTAGAAGGACTAAAAAGAACCAATGAGAATAGAAGCAAAAGTGAGCATTTTTTTTTTTTTTTATATTTGGTGAGGGGAAAATAGATATGAAAAACTATTCTAAACTGCGTGTTCAAGTAATCTTTGTTACAATTCTTGTGTTAGTAAAGATAAATATATGATACTGTTAGGACAGTATAAAATCTACTACTACACCTAAAGTGCACTACCATAGTATGGATAGGTAAGGGGGCTATTGCAGATGAAATTGCACTCACATTACTAAACAGACAGACTGTTCAGAAAGTATTAAAGTCTGTCACCTTGAGTGTCCTTCCAATTCTTCCCCAACTCACCTTGTCTTCAGAGTCAGAACTTCTCAGTGTTGCGTTACTTAGCGATTCTGATGTAGCTGCAGAATCTGGTGGGATATTTACACCATTCGTGCCACTGCTGAGACCTGGAATAAGGAATGAGAAAATTACATAAAAATTCTCCAGATATTTAATTGTCCCAAAAGTTTTCTATAGCAAATTCCATGCTGTTTTCTTGTTTAAGTCCATGAAACGTTACAGTGTAAACTACAGAGTTCCCAAAGTATTTTGCAAGAGACATGAGGAACATGATTCAGCAATTCTTAGCAGAACCAAAATTCCCAATGCAGAAAACTAAGCCAGCAAAAGCCGCTTAATCTATACAAACACTGCAGGAACTTCAACACATACAACTGCAAGCAACCACTCTGCTCCAATCTCATACTGTTCACAGCCAGCAGGGCTTCTCTTTGGACTGATGTAGCTACTCACATATGGAGCTCCCACTGAAAATTTGTACCCCAATATTATGTCCTCTGTAGAGCCCAATCTATGCCAACAGGCATGCCAAGAAATCAAGCTAGAAATGTTTGGTTCTATGCCAGATTCAGCATTAACTGAAGCTACTGTGTTTCAGTTCAACTGAACTTCCAAATAAGAAAAGGCAGGGGGCTGGGGAAACATACTTTAGGAGACATGGACACCTTGAACAGGTTTTTTTGCTTTAACTTCCAGTGTTCAATCATGCTTATTTCTATTAGCTATATCAAATTCCACAACAATACAATAAGCATAATGTACGTGATCAAACTTAAGAATTAAAATTGCATCTTGAAATCCCAACTCCAAAAGGGTCCCCAAGACTCCCAGCACCTCCTAGTGATTCAGACATTTTGTACCACTGTGCAGTCAGCTGAAGTCTACTACTGCTGTTCAAGTGATCAGCAGTACCTCAACTACACCACAGTCAATTCTGTCATTTAAGATTGCCAATCCACGCCCCTAAAGTATTTTTATTCCAAAAATGGATTAGACCAAAGTTAGAGGCCTAACAATGTCAGACAGTCATCCTACACAAAAACTGAAGGTTCAAACTGTGTTATTCCTTATGTTACACAGATATACTTAACATTTAAGATGTTTCTTTTCTGAAAGGAGAAACCTAGAAAAACAAAGGTGTATACTAAGTAAAAACAAATCACTACACTAAACAGATTTTGTATTTTTGTTCTCCCTCTGCAGTATTCTAGAAATCAAAAGCATTATTTACCCATCTGTGAGAAAGCTTTCGGCTGTGGTGCCTGTAATACTGCTGGACGTAGCACACTTCGCTGCTGTTCCTTCGGTTTCTGGCTAGGGAGACCTGCAAGTACAAAGTTTTTTCAAGAGCTATAAAGCTTAAGTTGAAAATTTCAGCTTCATCTAATCTTCTCTGCTTCCAACAGAGCATACACCAGAAAATCAGACATTAAAAAGCTTCCACCCCTTCTTTCCCATCCCTCACCTGGCCTCAAAACAGAATTAGTCCCAAACAGAGAAGATAACTTCCTAGCCTTAAAAGACGCTTTAAAATATATTCTCTACCTTATCCAGAAAAGCATACAAGGAGAATTTATGACTGACTCAAAATTCAAAATGTCAGGGAAATTAACAGTACACACCAATCCTACTTCTTCACTGACTTATTATTCAACTACACATTCCAAGACTTCTTTCCTCCTTTCAATAAAGTAATTTCCAGATACTGGTAAACAATATTTTTTTTTTTTGTTCTTCATACAATCAAATATATTGATATTGTAATAGTCTTACATGCTGTTTCATTTAACAACCTTTTTGAGTTAACTTGGCCTCTTAGGTTTGCTACAGTAAGATACACAGCACTAGATCTCTAAATCCACTCTGATTCAAAAAGCCAACTGACCTTAAACAACCTAATAAAAAACCCGAAACCAAACATCTTAACATCAACTCTAGAAGGTTGTGTCAATCCAAGAAGTTTCAGTTTTCATCACTGAGGAGAACTAAGTTGAACTGTTGACACGATAAAATACTACAGAAGTTTCTCATAGCAACTCAGCTGAATATTCTGCAACTAGTTCCATTTCAGGCTACCCTGAAAAAGGCATGTCAAAGGGCTCGACAACAACTGAAATAACTATCCTAAATTCAAACATTCATATATCCGCTCAAAAACTTGTTCTTTTTAAAATTTATTACTCTTCCTGCAAATGAAATAAACAGTTTCCATATGTAGATGTAACAAATAACAACTTCCATTACCAAAATAGTTTGGTTTTTTTCCCCCCTTCAAGCTCCTAAGGAGCTGTGATATTTGTCTTTCCCACACTGGCCAGATCTACATCAGCAAACAGGAAACTCAGTAAGAACCAAACCATACAGACAAACTGTAGAGCAGAACAGGTAGGATCAAGGACCAGACATCCACCCTATTGTCAAAAGCCAGGGAGAGAAGGAAGTGAACAATATTGCAGCAGACTTTGCTCTAACCTGGTCCCAGACTGAGCGCTCATTAATGGCTGGAACTTGTACAGTGCACCCCTGGAGCACTCCTTTTGTTCCAGTTTCCTACCAAAGGAATTGAGTTAATGGAGCCCAGGATTACTCTAAGAATTGAATCAGAACATGCTAAGCAGAGACAACTGGAAGACACATTTTAGAAATGCATGACAGATTGAAGCCAAAATTCTGATGTGTCTATACACATTACACAGCAGATATGGGCATAAGCACTCTGGGCATTGCCACCTTCCAGTTACAATAGCAGTTTGAGGAAACGCCTAAGTAAGTAAAATGATTGAACTGCTTTCTTTCTATTGCTCCAGAAAACATTGAACTCACCTGCACTGGGTGCCTGACCATGGATAAGTATTGGTGGCTTCAGCCGGAATCCACTGCTCTTTTCCTCTAGAAGCAAAATACAAAATTACAAGGACATAGCTGTAACATACCACATACATTCATCAGTCAAAATCCCTCATGCTCTCCCCACTGTAACAACCCACAAGTTTTCTAAATATCCAAAATCATAAAGAGATTGCCAAACAACAAATTCCTTTCCTCCAAAAGAAGTCTGAATTTCCAGTGATCGTCACAGAAAATATACATCAAAGACAGAAACACAAGTTGCTGCAAAAAAATTTCAAAATTGTTTTTCAGAAGAAACATGAAACATTGTTTTCACAAGAGAAATGGAGCTCCTTCTGTGAAGGACTTGGAGGTAGTAGAGGTCTTAAGTGAAAATCAAACTAAAGAAAGAACAATCAAAAGTATGACTGAACATGACAGGGGCTAACAGACTCAACTGCTAATTATCATAAATTAAGTTAAACTTAATTGCTTAGTATTAGTTTCTTGTAATTCCATTAACTTTTACCTTATGCTTTTACAGTATGAATTTGCTTTTACAAATAGTATGAATTCTTCTCTGCTTGCATTCACTACAGTTACGGCTTCAGATAAATCACCAATATCTCAAAAATACTTCATATTTTGTAACAGCTGTGGATTTTTGAACTCACAAGGTATAACTATAAAATACTTCCTTTTAGGAGCATAATGGCTGTGCTCAGAGTAAGACAATGCAGCACCTTATCATCTTACTGTACTTTGTCATTCTCATGCCATTAGGCATAATACATCAATACCAACACAACCAAACCACAGAACAACGGTGATTAACAAAGTGCTACTGTCACAGGTCATGGATTAACATAATCATGACCACAGATTATGGTTGATTTGATTTTCAGTATCAAAAAAGTCGTATCAAAGTAGGTAAGTTTTATGTTGAGGTTAATTTTCATTTAAGGGAAACAGGTGGGCAGAGAGTCATATTGCAGTCTTCTACCACCACTCTCAAAGCATTTAAGAATTTTGGTATTTGTTATTTTAATTACCTCCAGCAAGCATGAAATCAAGCAATGAAGCGAGCAAGAACAGCTGTAAGATCAGAACCATCACCAATTCCATTTTTCCAAATACGATATTACTTCTGAAGTATCAGAGTACTTTGGATCATGACAGACTGACAGCAGTTTGCTGAGAAAAAGCAGAAAGTGAGGAAGCTCACCTGGTTCAGAGTCAGAATTGCCTGTAGAGGGTTCACAGAAGCTTGATGGCATAAAGACGTTGTTTTTTGTTACTGCAGCCAAGGAAACGGAGAAGTAAAGAGAAGTTTTGTATGTTGTTCTTAATTACGAACTTTGTTCCCAGATATATCAAGGGTGCAAACTGAAAATAATTTTTCTAGTAATTTGTTTTGTTTATTTTAGGCTTCCCTTTCTTCTAAAATAAAACAGTATTATAGCCACAGAAGTAAACAGGTCATTGTCCACAAAATCCCCTTAGTTTCTCCTAAAAGAAAGAGCAAATTTCATTTATTCTGGAAAAATAATAAAACACAGGATTCCCAGTCTGAATTGTATCTGAACTATGAATTAAAAGTGATGTTACAATATATAATATCATTACAAAACACGTATAACATTTCAAAAGGTCTCTGCAGAGAGGGCAGAAAGGAATGTAATGCCTGATAAATAGTGGAAACTAACACCTGGGCTTCTCAAAAGGCTCAAGAGTGATAGCATCATTTGCACTAAGAGCTAGGCAACTTATGTTTGAACTGCCCTATAAGGATAAAAATTCTACAAAGGAGAGTGTATCAGAGTATTTGCAGATGTCACACTTAAGCATAGGAGACAACAAGAGTAAAAAAAATATTTGGAACGAACAGGCAAAAGGACAGTGTTTCCTTTCCACCCTTTGATAGGACCTAAAGAAGCAAGTAATAAATACTTTGGTCAAGGCCCTGTAGAGCAGTGGAAGTACTTTTGGTCTTGTACAAAGAATCACAGACAATGGAGTTTATGAAATAATGGTGATCAGAGCAAGAGGTACGTGTGTCAAGAGTCAAAAGGTAACAATAGCAGTTTGGGTTTTTGTCTCTAACAGATGATCCTGCATGAGGTAAAGTATGACAATATTTATCAGATCTTTCAGCTTTTATGAGGATGGAGTAAAAGCTTAAGTATGTTGAAAAGAGAAAGGAAACTCATCTCTGAACACTGTTATACTAAAAGATGTACAAAAAGCACTTGCCTTTTGTATTTAAGGTTTTTTTCTTACTCGTTTCTTTCCTTTAATTCCATCTTCTCTCTTTTTATTATGATCTGCCTAAAGCTCAAACATGATGCAGGTTTCACATGAGCAAAGTTTCCCTACACTTGAGAGAAACATAACGCCACAAAAAAATTTAAGAGGTTTGGAAAAGGAAAGATTTTCTGTAAACCAAGGTCATCAAATATTGTCAGCAGTATTCAAAGTAGCCTTTATGGAAGTTGCAATTGCAATCAAAGTTGTCACTGTTTGACAACAACACACATCAGAAGAGAACAAGGGAGACAAATGGAATAAACGACCATATCCAGTCAAAATGCATTAACCAAGAAGATGCTTGAGAAAGTATGCTGGACTCCTGAAATATCCAGTACATAACCTAATAGAGCCAAATAAATTGTTTTCCTCTACTTCTTAGCAAATGGTAGCATTAAGCAAAATCTGAGATTTTAGTGATTCTGATCTCAAAAGATAAAGGCATTACAGACTAGAAGAGTTAGTGATTATAGGGAACCTAGTAATATAAGGTCCAAGATTCTGCTTTACTAACAGAAATTCCACACACCAAAACCCCTTATTCATTATTTTCGTGTAGACAGTGCTCTTTTACTAAGAGTGATCAGCAAGCAGACAGCAGCAACAGTGGTCCCCTGAACTGTACTCAATTAACAGGACCGCACCTGGAAATCCACTAAGCTGCACACAAGAAAATCGAGATCTTGAGGAGGGATTCTTCCCATGACTAGCACCAGCAGCAGGAAATGAGAATACCGTGCCCGTAAAATATCAGCAACTACATTTTGAATTCCATAGTCATTAATTTCTCTAAAATTAAAAGCAAAATAACTAAGTTTTCATCTTTTAGTCACAGTCCCTGAATGTGCTCTATGTTAGAGGAATATTTTTTACTGTTCTCCCCTTTACTGTTCTTCTCATGTCCTTTATTTCAACTAAGATGATGGAAACAAAGTAGTGAAGACTCCAAACCTGCCCCAAGCACTGACATATATTAAAATAATTCTTGACCAAAGCTAAAAATCTTCATTTTGTCTGTGAAGAGAGAGGGTATAAATTTTAGAGATCATTCCTGTGGATGAACACAAATATCAAACATGACCATTCCCACATATGTGAGTTGCAAGAATTTACCCCCGGCCTTCCCAGTGATTTTGCTGCCTTGATTGTATATACACAAACTGGCAGCAGTCATTCTCTTGCATTTGCCAGGTGAGAATGTTGCTGAAATGGACTGAATCCTCTCCACTTTAAAAGAAATAGGAGAAAAGGAAAGGACTAAAACAACTTAAGCATGACCTAAGACTTGGAAGATTTGCCTGACAGAGTAATTAAGAAAAAAGTAGCATTATATAAATTTGTTAAAACACAAGCTGATCACAATAAATCAAGAAGATTTCTGGTAAATTCTTCAATTAAACAATGTAAGACTAAAAGCTGAAACTACAGATATATATACACTTACAGATAGAAAATATTTTAAAAACAGTATCTATCAACTGCTTTGGGCTTCACTGAATTTGCTAACACAAACCACAGGAAAAAAAAAAAAAAAAAGAGTACATGGTTGCTGTGGTCTTAAGCCAAAGCACAGCAGACAATAATAAGACCAATGACATGACTGGAAAAAAAAGTCTAAGAAAGAAACCCACCTCTCATATATAATATTATAGCAACATTTACCTGACTGAGAAGGAGGGAACTGAGTTAAAGATGAAGTTCTCTCACGCTTCACAGGTGGACAGTAGCTCCCATCCTCTCGATCAGATTCTGTAGAAAAAGGCAATTAAAGAAAATGCACAAAATCCTGGAGACACATTTACTCATGTTTTTTAATCGCATAATCAAATCTCTTACCATCTCCATCTTCTGGACTTGATCCATCTGCTGATCTCTGAAATCAGATGACAGTAATAAAAAAAAGTCACATACTGAACATTATAATCTCTTTGGATACATCCAAATGGTTTAATCATTGAAAAGTTTGGAGATTTTTTTTCTTTACTGTCAATGATATACACTCAAGATAAAGCATTATTTTTAGGACTTACATGGAGGCAAACTGAGTTTCACCCAGATACAATTAAATAAAATTAATTCAAAATATTTCATTTACAAGTAAGATATCTGAAAATTCATATCCAAGTATTAACATCCTTAGAGACTATTCAACAATTACAGTTACATTTTCCATATATTGAAAATCATTTTCAAATTTGGTTTGGTTTCACAAGTATCATGGAAGTTCCAAGCTCGTCATAAACATAACCGTTATTTGGGATTTCATTCCAAAGCACTTTTCCTAATTAGCATAACTAACATCAGTTCCTTCAACAAAAGAACGGCGTTGGAAGAATGTCTGTCAAAGCACACTCTGTAAATTAGTACTATGATATTTTGATAGGAATTAACAATGGATAGTCTCCTAGCATCTTCCACAGTACCAGGAACAGGAAGCATCACTAGCTACCAGCTATCACAATACTGAAGAAGTCTTTGAACAAAGGTTTCGCATCTTTTCTGAGAATTTCTAGGTGTCTCTCCTCCTACTTGCTCTGCCAGTTCCTCAGCTGATACAGTTTCCCTTGTTCCTGCAAAACAATCCCATGACGGATCCCTTTCACTACAGAAGGTGACCAGGGCAGCATTCGTGCCTCCATCTCATTACAAAACCTCTTGACGTACTGGACCTTCTCCCAGCTCTCAGCCCACTCTTGCCCCTTCGCACAGTCTCACTTCAGAGCCTGGCTGACTTGGAGGAACGGCAGCTCAGGGGCAGAGCTTGCTGCAGCCCCAGAGCTCATCCTTCCCCACTGCAGCTAGTGGTACTTTGCCAAGGACAACAGGCAGACACACAAGGACCAGGCAACACACAACAGGACTGGCTAAGGCTGCACAGGACTATCATCTGAAAAACCCAACTTGGATATAAAAATACCAGAAAGAACAAAACTATGTAGCACTGGATATATTTAGAATCTAGATGCTCCTGGACTATCAGTACTTCACTCAATGCTAATAAAATCCCATTTATACTGCATTTTGCCTATGCAATTAAGTTTAAGAGGTTTTCTGTTTTCTTTCACATTAATAGAAAAGTATGACTATCGTACTAGCACCCTAGTCAAGCACTTTTTAAACCTTTTGTATAGGGAAAGAAAAGCTATTGACAGTTCTGGAACACACCCCACCCCCCATCCACAGATATCTATCAGCCCAATCACATTAATACTGTATTTCCTACATAACTGGTCAAGTACTGCGCACTAGCGGAAGAAGATTGTATTAGGTATCTCATTTGCCAACATACATTAGTTTCCCAAAAGATAAGGCTAAAGTGGAAAATCATTATGTCATCTACCTGTTTCAGCAATCAGCATCTGAAGTCAGAAAAAATTCTATTTAGCACAGAAAGTATTGTCACATATACCAGCAATTTGTTTCAATTTTTAGCAAAAATCCTGAAAGCAAAAGGAAACCATTTGGTAAAAAGTTTGCACGAATGGAACTGCATATCTCTATGTGCAAAAATCCTCAAAAAAATCAAGAAGGGATTTCCCCCTAAACTTCAAAAACTTAAGCCATTATTAATATGTACTGTATTCTCAATGCTTGAGTAACAGACAACAAGTCAAACCTTCATAGCACAAACTTCAAACTGTCACATCATTAGCTGATGCATGCACAACTAAACACACTGTCACTACATTTAGTGGGCAAGGACCATCAACATCCAAAACCAACTCTGTAACCTACTGAGAACAAAGCAGAGATAAGTATCTGCTCCCTCTGAGCTACTTCCATGCCTCCTAGCCCAAGAATTTTAGGAGATCAAAGCCATGCAGGAGTCCCTATGACAAGTGTTACAGCTGTTAATGACACTGCCAATTCTAGTCAAAGCAGATGCTGCACAGAATTTAAAAAGTACTTCCCTTTCTCTCAAATGTATTTTTTCCTACTTAAGCATCTAAATCTGTAGACCACTTGGTATGCTACCTCCCATCCCTACCCATTCACACACTGCTCACACTGTCAGTTATTGTTTAGGGAAGTCAGAACAGACCTTGCAAATAACTCCTATAGGAAAAACGCAACAACAGATTTAAAACTTTCACAGGTTTAGTAATTTAAAGGCCAGTGAAGTAAAAAGTCATAATCCCTCAGGTTGACCCACAGGAACAGACAGGCCAAAGAACCTCATTTATGTCTACCTTAGTACTGAAACTCCTGCCCGAGCATCTAAGATATCCAAGCTCAATTTTCTGCTTTCAAATGAATGAGAATATGCACAAGTTACTCCCCTGAAGAGTTACCAACACTACTGAGAACTGCTTTTTAATTTTGTTATACTCAGCATCCAGTAAGAAACACACACCACTGTTTCCTTGCTTTTATTTAAAAAATTGTTGTCAATATTCACTCCCCAGTACTTAGGCATTCACCTACCAGGTCTCCTCAACCTTGGATAAATCTAAAGTTTTTTCATTATAATAATGCTTTCACCAATGATCACTCTTACAGATCTTGAAAAATATTCCTAAATCCTTTGTTGTTAGAAGAAAGGTTTTTAGGAAAATACAATTGTATGCACACGATCCAATGAAGCCTGATTTCCCAGATGACAAACAATGTGGGAAAAACCTGCAGTGAGAAATCAAATGCTTGAGGCAGCAACATGTTTCCTTTCCTCTCTAGTCTGGCTCTACCCACAGACTGTAGAAGAATCCATTGCCAAGATCTCCGTATCTCTCAATACCTTTGGACAAATCTGACAGAGTTAAAGGTAGATGGCATGGGGGGCAGGGGTACACAGATACTATAAAGTTACTGCTGCAGCCAGAAGCTGCTTACCAGTGCTGCTTATTCAGGAGAAGCTGGGGAAAGTAGACAAAAATAGGGGGAATATATGCATGACAAACAGTTTACTTGACAGACTGGAAAAAACATCAGATTACAATTAGTGACAATAAACAGCAGTCCCAGCCTTTCCATTTCAGGCTTCTCTTTCCAGGCTACTCAATCTGTACTTTACAGCAACACATGTTTTACACAAGTATACTACACAACAGATACGAAAGCCAGGACCATCTCATACTATAAGGAACCATTAAGGTGACTCCACTCTCCATTCAGTTCTTTGAAATTAGAAATTGAAGAGACACTTAAACCAGTAACATCAAAATCTAACCTAAAATGTAATCCTCATTTAAAGAACGTAAACCACCTTTCACTTACTCTCTCCTCATCCTACTTTTAGAAATCCAGCTACAGGAAAGTTACAATTATTTCTAAACAGAGGCTCCTACAATTCTGACATGTTTCCAATTAACCAAATTACTTTTTTAAAGACTTTTAAGAAGTGCAAATGAAGGTATTAACCATCCCACACTGAAGTGCAAACACTGCTTTACACGCATTACTGCCTCACATAGTTGTGACAAACTAATAGAGAAGAATCTAAACTTCAACAAATTTGTCACTTTTGTTTATTCACAATAAAGGAGCAGAAACAGGGAAAGAAACAGAGAATTCAGGTAAAGCAAAAAAATCAGCATAATTAGGTGAAATCTGTAAGAGCACACTTACAGTGTTTATCTTTGAAAGATACATTTAAGATGCAAAAAGTCCTGTATAAAAGGAATTCAGAGCATGATACAGCAAGTCTGCAATCTAGACATTCTGCACATATATAAGCATTATTGAACTGCCATGGCCGTTGCTTAAAAGCTGTTCCAGAACCTCTTAAACAATGGAGTCCTGCTGGCACTGCTACATGCTGTTGTAGGCTGACTTGAATTAGCTGAAAGTCAAGACATTATAATCAGCTCTGCAAGAGGCCATATTTCTGGCCACACCATGTTAATGTTAATATTAGCAAAAATATCTGTCTCTGTGTGTACAAACAATACCAATTAAACAAGAAACATGCAATCTCTCCTTCAGAACTCAGTCTTAATTCATCTCTTTTCCCAAGGTCCTGGGAAGATTACATGAAACTTTCTGCTCTGGCAAACCAGTAGGATCACTCTGAAGATGCATCAGATGTATACTTCAAGGTAAGAGACAGTTTTGCTCTTAAACTGGGATAATTTGAAGAATACTTGCCAGTGCATATGAAGGCCAGTTACATGCCTATACTGAACACTATACTACTATTCCATAAGTTTAAGTGAATGGAGTAAAGTTCAAAGATGCACAGGTAACTGTTGTGTACAGCCAAGAATTCCTGCATACATTCCTGAACAGCATTTTTGGTTCTTAAATTTCTTTCAGACCCAGGTTAACTAGGGTAATTCTGCTCTTTCAGAACAAGTCTAAGATTATGACCACTTGCTGCAATTTTCCTGAAAGACTGGTTAATACAGTTCTCTTGACCACTTCTAGTAACACCAGCAATTTCAAGTGATAGAAAATTGTCATAAAATTCTGTGACTATGTTTACGAGCTTTATTTTAAAATACTAGCCCTTGAAAACTTCATCCTTAATAAAAACTGAAACAGAAAAATTTCTGCAGCAGGTCAGCAAGCAACAGCCCCAACACCAAAAGGTGTTTAACCTACAGCTGTTTGTACCTTGTCATGACAAACCATTCACACTAGTTTTACTGGAAATGGCCCATTCCTGAAAAAACAAAAACAAAACCCAAGAGAACAACAAAAAACCCCCCACAAATGTAATGCAAGAAAAGGGTGTGGGTATTGTGTGGAACAGCCTTAACAGGCAAAGATGTATCAGTATGTGCCTAGTGTGTGGTCACAATGAGGAGTGACACTCACCTGCACCAAGAAAACACTGTTCACCAGCCGGAAAGATTAGGGAGACTTTGAAAATTGCTCTGAAAGACTGTATTATAGCAGTCACTTATTCATCCAATCTTTCAAAAAACATTTTACTGCACCACCAGTAGAAAAATCTTAAAATAACAGCACTGACAGCTTTTCCTATGTCAAAGTACTGATTTTTTTCTTTCAAAGTACCCAAATTCAAAATTCTGTTTTAGCATCATTGCTGCTGCTTTTAATCTGTTAAATACATTACAGGTTGACATGACAAGCTCCTGTTTATATCCAGTGGAATCACAGCATTAGCTGCTCACTTTGTGAAGCTGCAGCATTTTGGCTAGAAGGGAATAAACTGTCCTTTGCTAACTGCTTGAAGCAAATCCCTCATATATACCCATTTTCCCACTCACTGAGAGGAGGTCTTATCCTTAGCAAACACAGCATTTACACCCTAAAGTTTAAAATGAATCCTTGACGTGTCTTGTATAATTACACCCACTAGGGAGTTCCAAACAGCTCTCATTTCTACTAATGGGAACAATGGCTTAGAGGGGACTAATGATTGAAATCAAAAGACAGATAGTGAGCTGCACTACCTGAAGTTAACAGTAACAGATTTCTCCTAGTGGAATGGACTTTTTTCTTTAAGCCCCTCAGCAGCAGAAGTACTTGGTAGGTTCACACTTACCCCTGCCAGTTCTTGTTGAATAGGAGCAAGCTGGGCTTCAGAAGTGGGACTCAGGGTAGCACTGACTGAGGCAACAGCGGGAGCAGGGTGCTCAGAGTCGCGCTCACCAGCTGATTCTTTGTGACCCAGATCATGGTGGGGGGACTCAACCTCTCCCTGGGGGTCCTCGCCTGAATCCGACAAACCTTTTTGCTCTGCAGGGGACTGGGAGCAGAAAAGACAACGTCCCTTCAATGCAAGGCTGCAACATGAGAGCAGTCGTCCTAGTGAGAGGATCTGCTAATCCCATTTTAAATTCCACTGTTTTCATAGTATGGCAGAAGGAATTGCTTGCTGCTGAGATGCCAATCAATACATACACAAACTACATAACAGAACCTGCTGACTGAATTAGCTTCCCCTCCCCACAAAAAGCATCAGTTGGAACAAATGCACTTTTTTGAATGTTAGCTACAAAAAGTCAGTGTCCGCATCAGAAGAGCATTTTGTCAACCATGGGGTTGTTGAGGTTTAACTCCTCCTTCTCTCAAGGCCTAAAGGACAGCTATTTGCTTTTACCCCCAGATTCAGACATAAGAATTACACAGACAATTTCAGTAAATAACTGTCCTTCACTGCTTCTTCAGACCACATTTGAGGGAGGTGGGGCTGATAATTAATTTCCGTGGAGAATTTTATAACGTTCACACAAGACACACAATCCTTTCATATTCACATGACTGAATTATCCGAAAAGCAACACCAATGTTTTCTTCTATAAATTAAAAAGTTTGCATATCTATTTCAAGGAGGGAGTGATAGGCTAGCTAGTGCACAGTAATGGGATTTGATATTTGCTGAACTTCTGCCACAGACTCTGTACATTTCTTCAGATCATTTAATGTCACAGGTCCCCACTTGTAGAACAAAAATTAAGCATTACCATATTCTGCACACATCTGAAGAATGAGAAAGTTAAAGGCTTTGGGACTGAACAACTGTATTGTGATAAAGGACTAAATTATAGTCCATGGATAATATGCAGGCCAAGGATGTTCTCCCAGCTGAGATCTGTGGGCCAAGCCTCCCGGTGTCTTATGGTGAAGTATCTGGAGAATCAAGCAGTTAGGCGGAGATGTCACTCAGAAGCACATAACCTTGGCTTGCTCTCAGAAAACACTCAGTAGAATGAAGAGAGACTAAAAATGCTCATCACTGCCCAAGGTCCATGCATAACAATAAACAGCAACCTCAAAAATAAGCAGCATCTTTTAATTCTTAAGGGCTCAAAGTTCTTCAGCTATGACTTGGCCTGTCCTCAAACAGAAGCAATTATTAAAAGACAGCAATACATGTAATTTTATCAGCAGGTTCATTTCAGTTCAGTGAAGTTACTCAAGTTTTAAATCTTGCAAGTAATTACTATCATTAAGGCTCAAAATAGACAAAATGTATTTAACAGGAATAACATTAGGTCAGATAGAGCTGGGGATGCTAGATTTTTGTATTTTCAAAATTTTCTGGTCTTAATATGAAGCTGCTACTGACAGATCCAAACACTAACATAAAACTCCACAGAATGAGAAAAGAGTTAAAGAAACATTTTGTCTGTCACCAAAAAAAATAAAACCACGTCTAGCATTCTGCTATTCTTACCTCTGGCTCAGAAGAACAGCACGAAAAGGCTATCTGGAATTGGCCACAGCACTTACAACGTATGTATATTATTCATACATAAAGACAAGGGGTAAACACCTCAGTCCTCCACTTGACATTACTCCTAGCCCCTTTTTTATGCTAAGACACACTTTCAAAAGTTAACAGATTCTAAATGTCACTCAAACTGTTTTCTTCCCCTTCAAGCAGAGACAGCCATAAAAAAAGTACAATAACTAAGTCACAAGTTACCTGCATCATACTAACCGCAAAAGCAATTATGCAAGCAGCAGCACTGAAGACCTGACTTTTCTCATGGTTTACGTTGCATGTGTCCTCTGGTTCTCCCACTCCGCTGCCCCAATTCCTTCCCCCACATACTTCACAACCCTACACACCTCTTCAATCCTGCCAAACCTTCTCTGGCCATCCACAGGGCTAGATGCAGTTCATCAGCACTGAGCAGGTAGTGGGGACATGCAGACAAGCATGCATACAGCAGCTCTCCCTCTGCAAGGAAGGTAATTTGGGCCTCCCTGATCCAGTCAGGTTTCTAGTTTTCAGGAAACATGCAGAACAGTTTTAACATTTCAACCTCTATCACCTGGCCAATAGTTACCAGATTCTTCAAGCTTTTTGCTTGGTGATCAATAGAGAGCCAGCATCATAAGCAGCTTTGCTCGGCTTCCTAGCTGCAAGACTTCCCACTTCTCCAGTGGTCTGAAGAGCCAGACCACTACAGAAGAGGTGACTGCAGTAGGACTGAACCGATCACAGACCCAGTCCAACTGCTGTGCAGGTGATGGAGATGACTCTGCTGTTACTTACATAGCCTTTGAAGAAAGCCTGGGGAGAGGGAAGGGGACAGGACCCTACAAACCACAGTGGGGAAAATGCTGAAAGCTATAACCAGAACAGTACTAGGAAATAGGGACTGGAGAGATCATCCTTGTCAACGGCCAGAATGAACCTCAGGGTGAGATAACCATCACCAGGGATCTGCAGGCAACCCGGAACGATTAGGAAACTGCAGACAGACAGCCTCTGGGGATGAAGACAACTAAGAAGATTCAGTGCCCATAAGAAGCAAAACACTGCATAGGAAGAGGGTATTGAAGTGTTTCCACATAAAAAATGGCTAAATACCTTATTTCTTCAGCCATAATACACAGAATTTGGAGAGAAAAGGAGCAGGAATGTAAGTATGAAATCATGAGTGCCACATAGAATGGCAACACAGTTACTTCCACAGAGCAAGGGCTGGAAGGCAGCAAATTAAACTAGGGTATTAGCAGGTTCAAAAGGTTAACAGATTCAAAAAAGTAAAGGAGACAAAAAGCCAGACCTGGTGAACCCCTTGTCAGAGGATCACAGCAGTAGGTCACATGCCTGAGTTCAACAAGCAATCAGAGAACTTAAAAGGAAAAAAAAAAAAAAAGAGGAGCCTTACCGGCAATTTACACTGACTTCTAGCTACAGATGATAAAATTGCTTCTAATGCAGTAAGAGGCAAGAACATTCAACACATACTTGTGCCATGTGCTTAGAAGTGGAAATGACAATAAATTATTTTACAAGTAATTTTTATCAATACAATTTAGGGCATTTCAAAGTAGGCTAAGTAAATATGCATCAGATTTTAGTAATGTGTGGCAAGTATTTTAAAAAAGTAGAATAAGCAAGGTAACCTTCTGGCATAAATCTGATTTCTATACCAAGCAAAACTACAGTATGTGTTTCAAGACTCAGAAAAGAAACAAACTGAAAAATAACAATTATTGCCCATCACCACTTATACAGAAGAATCTGATGCCAAGATGAGAATTTCTTGCCCAGGTCAATACATAAAATTGTATTAAAAAAAAAAAAAAATCAATATATTAAATGGATCAAAAGCTACTGCAAGTTTCAGAATTTTGTAAATATTATGTGGTTTAAGTCATGGAAGACAAAACCAACAAAGGCCTCAAGGATTTGTCAAACCAAAACTGCTCCAGACAGAAGTTTGTACAGCTGTTCTCAAAAAATACATCTGAGGGCAACTGCAAGTTCTTAAAATTCATTTTAGTCTTCAGTTATGCTCACTATTGAAAGTGTTTTCTAATCTCTTAACTTCATAAATTCTGATCTAAGTTCTTGTTCGAAGTTCTTTGGACCTGGTGAAGAACAGGTCCTTTTTGCTGTAATGTTTTATGTCTGTGATGATTTGTGTCTCTCCTTGAGCCTCCTCTTCTTCAGAGGAAACATTCTTTATAAGTACAGCTTTAGGGAGAACGTGGCAGAAATCTCTTCCTGTCTCTTAAATACTACAGCAAAGATCAATGGAGAGATTAACTTTAGGAAGCCACCTACACAAACTCACCTTGTTCAGCCAGATCAAACAACATCTATTTAATTAGGCACAATAACAACACACCTAGACCAAACACATAAAAGTCTACTTGGAGATCTGGCTTCCTCTGCATTGCAGGAAATAAGGAGAGACATGAAGAAATACATAAAAACTAGTATTAACACAATGCTAAAACCACCAAATACAAGACTTGCATAAACACTCTTGGATCAGTTTTTTCCTCCCAATTTTAAGTTGTGCTATTTATGCCCCTCTCCCTTATTTTCCCCAAACTAGCACCCATATCCAATGGCCCAGAAAGACTACTCTCCGTATACCTTTTCACAATCTTTACCTGTTTAGAGCTGAGGACAACTCTATGGCAGAAGTTAAAATCAGTTTCAGAGCAGAAGCACATCTAACAAGTGACAAGAATTAATCACAGAAAAGGTGGTATCAATTGAAATCTTTAATTCAAAAAGTGCTATGAAAAGCACAGTATAGCTCATGTGTAAGTTATTGGGATAAATAATGGAGTAACAGCAATATTCTATGCTTAACATAGCAAGGTCACTTTCAAATCTTAACAGCTATGAGACTTCCTAAGGTGATGCAATTTTCCAACTAGTGTCAGCACTAGAAGCTCTGCTTGTCAGAAAAATGAATAGCAGCGTATAAACAAGATATGTGGATGCTATCATTCAGATATTTGCAAGGACTATATTTCACACATTGTAAAACCAGTTCTCAGAGTTAAGAAGATATGAAAATAATGAAAATGGAGACTCAACAAATGTGGAAACAGTTCACTTTACATCCACCATTAATTGATATCTATAATGCAAATCAGAACAGATTAACTAATCCTGTCTTTTTAACAGTGAAAGAAAACAACCAGAACTTCTTTACTGAAAGTAAAATTAAGAGGCATCATTCTGAACACCTTTTGCCCCTCTAAATAATCTTGACAAACTGCAGGTTCTGATTTTCTACTAAACTGTATACATCCTTAGCTAGAACAATCAATTAAAAAAACAAAATCAGCTTCCAGACTAGTATGCATTTTGCCCTACAACATGCTGAATATTTTCCAACTTTTAATGAAGAAATAGATGTCTGACACCTTACAAGCACAAACTTTAGTAGAGATTTCTAGAGAAATAATATTCTTTAACTTAATAGTAGACAAGGTTAGATCCAGAAAAGTGAGTTAAGACCACTGAACAATATCAACCCAGCCCTAATACCGATAAGGCCTGTAGACACTGAAACAAAATAATTCTGGTCAGGATGTTCTGTTTTACGTGGAAGAGCACTAGGCAAACATCTAAACAATCATCATGGGCAGTTAATTGAATACACTGTGCAATGCCTTCTCCTCACTCTCAGTTTACTGTCAGATTGCTGTGTTGGTGCTGAAAAGCCTCCATGAACACTTTACTTACAGCTTCAGAAGAAAGCCAACCTGACTGGACAGACATTTTGCTAAACTGAAATAGTAATTTACATAGAGAAATTACATATTTTAGAAGTGTGTTGTTTGTCAACTATTTTGAAGTTACTTTTGCATTTTCTTCAAAACATTGCTCTAGGAAAAACTCCCCTGTTAATAGGTTTTCCTTGTTAACTTTAATAAGAGTAATCTTTTGTGGCAGGCAATGCACTTAACCAGGCACCTTTTATGGAATATGGAGTTAACCGTTAACTGTAACATCTCTGTGTTAGTCTTTCCAAAAATACAGTGAAAGGTCTCAATCAGTGTGTAACTGGAGTCACCTCTTCTTGATTAAGTTGATTAAAGGGACACTCAGATGGCCTGAATGCAGGGTTCTAATATACACAGCATATATGAAGCAGCTGTTACATTTGGCTGACAGCACTGTATTCTGACTCTATTAGTTTTTCATCAGCACTACAAAAAACAGCTACTGGCACAAGCAAACAGGCTTTGGCCCTTAATTTAATAAAACATCAAGTACAGCACTGACGATTCTCTCACTCTTTTTCTCTAGTCTCAAATACACATTATATAAGCTACTAAAATTATTATTAAGCACTGCCTCTGCCCCTTTTTAAGAAAATTGTACATCTCCACACGTTACACAGTTTAACATAAGCATTTATGTTTGTTACTAGACCTCTTATACTTTGGAAATTGGCAACCAAGTGACAGATGCCACTGGTAGACTCTTCATGATCTGCTTCAAGGAACAATCCCTGTTCTTCAGCCAAGCTAGATCTATTCCACACCATACTGACTGTGTCAAGAAGCAACGCCACTTTGCATTTAGACCAATTTCTAAATTACGTCTAACCTCTGTGCCTTTAAGATGCTTGGCTCACACACAGGCCTAGAGACACAGGATCTCTCCACCCCACCAGGAAGGCTTTCTGGCTGTGTCCTCCGCACTGCTACCTAACTCAGCATCACCACAGCCCTCAGCATCCTCAGAGGCAGCTGTGAAGACTAAATCAGATCCCTCTCCCCTGGAATCCTGCATCATCTCTGCCAGCTTAAAAAGGCATTAAGCCTTTTTTTTACAAGTATTTTTACAAAAATTAAGATTTTTTTTTTTTTTTACAAATATTTTCTTGAGACATACCAGAGCACGACAGATTTGTCCCACAGCCCAACATAGGAGCTTGCACAGCCTAACACTGAAGGCATGCACTCTGCGCAGAAGCAGAAGGTACAGCATGAAGGAACTGGAAGGTACAAGACCTGCCAGCTTTGCTCTGAAGGGCCAGCCCAGCAAAGAAAGGACATAGGACCACCATCGCTCTACCTGGGCTGCACATCGCTATGATCACTGCTTCCACACTAACTGTGGAAGCACTGCCAGCTTAAAATACACCTGGGGAGAAAATTCATTACAGTGCAACTCCGGGACTTCAGGAACTGTCTGAGCAACAGCAGGTGATTGGGAGCCGTTTCCTAGAAGGAAGCGACACGATCCAAACTGATACTGAAACACTAGTGCTCCCTTCATTCTAAAGTACATGTAAACAGTCACTGTAAAAAATGCGATGGAAGGAACATCTCCGAAGTATTTAATCTAAGATATATTTAATTTGATTAGCTAATATTAGAAGAACAGCAGCTTTAAATCCTTTCCAAGCTGACAAAAGATTTCAAGCCCCTGGTGAGGAATATGCCTTCTAAACCCATGGGAAAGCTTGAGTCTGGTACTTGTTCCAAACCAAAGAAAAGCTACCAACTACAAAATGGTACAATATTTCTATTCAAACATTTGTGAAGATTTTCTGATTTTACAGATAATATAACAATCCAGTGATTCAAAAAAAGTGAATCATGCGTACATGAGTACATTTCTCTTGGTTCCCACCAGCTTCAGCTGAAACAAGGCTAGCTTTGATTTATTTTTTTTTTCCCCCCAAACATAAGTAGCTTTTACTATTAACCAGGCAGAATTAAATATCACAATATATTGAGATTCTTATCAATTTCTTTTAATAAAAATACTTTTACAATATAAGAAACTGAAAGGCTGTTTGGAAAAAAAAAAAAAAAGAAAACTACACCCTAGCATTCATCCATAACATTTTGTGCATCACTTGCAAAGTGAAAATGAATGAAAACTATACTGCACTCTGTCCACATGGCCATGGTTTTCCATAATATCTATTTCAATTTAATAGCAATTTCTGCTGAAGGGGAGGTCCTGCTCCTTCCTTCAACTCATTTCTCTCCCAAGCTCTACTCCTCCTGCAGTCACAAGATGAGTTGTATCACCCTCTCGGTTCAACACAAACTCACCCGCAGAACACCTTCCAGCAGACTATGGCACATTGTGTAACTGCTGCTGCAGACTCGAAGGCAGGGGACAGGAACATATGGCAGTGGTAGAGGGTCAGGTGAAGGAACAGGATTACCATTTTGCAAGGTAATTAGACACTTCACGGCTTACTAACCAAAGATGAGATACACTTAAATATACTGAGGTGAAAATCAATAATCTAGACCATGGTTTTCTTCGCTTTGTCTTAATTCTATTATCAGAAAAATAAACGTCATATTTGCAGTTGCATGAGAAAACAGTCATCACTCCTTTGACATCTGCTCCTTTCAAGCTGTCCATCTTCTGTCTGAAGAGCTACCCATTTCATGCCACTACCATACATCTTCCCACTTTTGACCCTCCAATAACTCTTTGCCATATGCCCATTAATAATATTAATGCTATACTATCCATCTTCAACTTCAAAACAATACAAACAGTTGCTCACCATGGAATAAGACAGGGCTGCAACAAAACAAACAAAAAATTATATCAGCATCTCCTTACCTTCTGTGCTTTATCCTTCTGAAATACAAAGACAGGTGGAGCAATGGCAGGTTTTTCTGTAAAAAGAGAAATCATTGGTTTTGTTCCAGCCACAGTCATTACTGACTAATATGAAAACGTTTTGTTCTAGGATGCTTTGACCAGTAATCAATCCTTAATCCAGTTAATTCTCAGTTACACAAACTGTTTCCACCAGTTTATGGTAACATGATTATAAGAACTTGATTTTCAAACAGAAAAAGGAGTGCTTTAAGAACAACAGTACAACTGATATCTGAAAGCTATTTGTCTTTTCCTTCCAGATCTATTTCAAACCAGTAACTTTACTGAAGTCCATCAGGAGGAACAGGCCTTTTGCTGTAGTAGTTTACTTTTTGAACACATATAAGTTTTACAGGCAAAGGCTTTTCCTTCCCCATAGCAATGAATTAACACAAAGGGAGTTTTGCAGTACACAACCACACACCCCACTAAGGTCACTTAACTCTGACACCTGACTATAATTGTATTTCATTATCATAAAAACCTTTTAAAAACTAATAAATCTTCAACATTTTCAGGTCTACAATTTAAACCAAATATTCCATGCATATTATCACAGAGCAACCAGTCTTCTTCGCATAACTTAAGAGCACGTCTGCTTCCTACTTGAAGTTCCTACTCAAACATTAGCAGGACACTATTTTCTAAATAAGCACATCAACATTTAGTTTTCAAGAATAAAATTAATTTCTAGAATGAGTGTGTTTTCCGTTGTCCTTAATGACCTTTGCACTTATTTAATCTTAGAAGCAGGAATAGACATTAAAGAAAAAGATTTAAAAAAATTTTAATTTAGAACTTGAAAGGCTACCATAAAAAAGACCTATAAAGACATCAGGAACTACCTTATGCCTAAAAAAAGACAGTATCACAAAATCCTCCATAAATCAGCTACAGAATCAGTAAAGCACTTGAGTCAGCATATAAGAAAAAGGGGATTAGACTGTCCATTTGGGAACTGCCAGCTATGAGATCAGTTTAGCTGAAAAAGTGAAACTTTACCTGACAAACACATAACAATTATGGAAATTATTCCAAGAACTCCATGCATTTATTTGTAAGGGTAGAAAACTCTATTTCCACCCTTCTGTAGGTCTAACTCATAAGGATAACCCAGTAAAAACATCAATACCAATTTTGCAAGACCAGCATAACTTGTTCCACAAAAGGCAAAATTAATTGTGAAATAAAGCTCCTTACTACAGCATTTTGCCTGCTCTTTTTTTCCTTTATTTTCTAAGTTTTTCTATCCTTCACATACTGCTGAATCTTGAAAATTCTTATTAGTGAGAGCAATTCAGACAATCTATTTAAAAAATGAAAAATAACATAACACTGGTCATCAACAAAGTTGATGCTATAACCGCTATACCTGTCCCCAAAAACAGTTTGTTGAAACAAGCCAGGGATCCCTTTTGATTCCCTTGGCCTCAGTATAACCTGCCTGTGAGAGGCTCCACTGGTGTGAGGTCCAAGCTTTTAACCCTTTACTTCCAACTGATGTTCATTTCTCTATACCAAGTTTGGTATACTTTAGTATTCATTAATACTATAATTGCAGCAAAAAGTAGCATGCATTCTACCAAGCTACTTTTATCCAAGACTGTCAAAGCAATCAATAAAATGCTGTATTACTGTCCGTCCCTTCTGCAGATCTGTTCAAAACAGGATTTGACTGTCTGTACCATATTCCACAAAAAGAACCAAACAAAGAAGAACTACTTGTCTATTTGGTGCTTAATAAAGGATTCAAGTAATGAGAGAGAAGAAAGCAAAACAAAAAAAAAAAAGCAGATCCAACAACAATGCAAAGTGCAGAGGAAACATGGGACAGCTGGCAAAAGAATATAATGGGGAGCCAAAGAAGTTGATGCAAACAGGACAAGATACAAGAGAATCTGGTGACTGAAAACTGAATACTTGGGGTGAAAAAAAGAACAGGGATGCCAGGAACAGAAGAAAGCTCACAGAAAAGAAAAACTGCAAGATGGAAGAACCAAAGAGGAAAACTGAGTAAAAAAAATAATCAAATATTTGAGATTGTGTCCAGCTACAACAAATGAGTCTGGGAAAAGAATCTAGAGAAACAAACTATGACCAGTCCCCTTAGTCAGGGTGGAAAAGGTAACACTCTTCTGCAACATGTGAGAGTTTCTATCGTCTGAAGCAATGCAGTCCTCCAGTACTCAAGACCTAGGAATCTCACTATTACTCCTGCTGGCTGTGAGACCAACTGACATGACAGCATGGTAGAAATGACAACAAGACAGCAGGCACCCATGGCCAGAAACTACACCAGTGCTTAGCCAGGCACATTCTTTACAGGGGAACACTTGTTCACCATGTCCTTTCTAAAGTCTGTAACAAAACCACAATGCTGAAAAGTTTCCTCCATTCTAGCCCAAGGCAAGAAAGGATCACTAGGTTGTCTAATCTGACTACCTTCATTAAACACTGATTACTTTTCTGAGGCTTATTGTTTTGGGGAAACCTTTTCATCAAAAACATCAATTATTTAAGATATTAAAAGCAAAGTATTATTGCCCTTGATCATCCATTACCTCACTTGGTTAAAAACACCAGTGCCAAATTTCCCATTCAGCTGTCTGGCTTCAGCTTCCAGTTACAATTCCTAGTTCTATTTTTTGAATGCATTTACGTACTAGATAAAGAGCTCTCTAGTATTTAATATTTTTCCTACAAAAGCACTTACACAAACCATGTTTTCCTATCAACTGAAGAACCACCACAACAGGTTTTATTTTTGTAGAACAGAAATGCATATGTTCGGTAGCTGTTGAGGTTTTTCCCCAACTGGTGAGTATGGCAGCTTAAGTGCTACTCCAAAATGAGAATTAGTCATTTGTACTAGCCAACATCAGATGTGGACAGTCATGTTCTCTGAGCAAGCATGCTTCCATTCCACCAAGGTGTCTGAAGGATGACCTATAGTAAAATGGGTCTGCTGGGTCCACAGAACTGTCATCAAGTTCAACTGAAAATAAAGGAGGATAAAGGAACGAAAAAGCACACAACCTTCAAACTTCAGGTATAATGCACGTTAAAGAACATGAGAACTTCTCTTTCACCTACGAGATTAACAGACACAGCACAGAGTTCTTAAAAATTGTGGAACAGACGTGGCTTTTCTCCAGACAAGCAGACAGAAACAAGGCAAAACAAAGTTGGAGATGCAGAAACAATGTCACTTTTCCAACAGTCAGTCTCAGTAAAGGTGCTCTGAGAAAGCCCAAGCATGTAAGACGGAAAGCAGACTTTTCAGTAATTACTGTCAGAGACAGTAAGTCCCCAATCTGAGACTCATACAAACCACCCAGTTTCTTCTGAATGGTAGTAGGCCATCAAACAAGTCTGAAAAATGACTGAATCCACAGAACTCCTTCCTGCAGTTTACTCATAAGTTTCAGACATTTCAACCTGCATGAACAATTGCAAAAACCTTAAGAGTTGACTTTCACAGGCTAAATTCCTTTAACATATTTCACTGTCAGGTCATTAACTATCAAGATATGCCCTATGTGCTATCAGAAAAATGTAAGTACTATTAAGCCTACTCAGTTGTCTTCACAAATCTTGGAAACCAAAACATGTCGGAAAGTACAAGAAACATGACTGGATCATTTATAGCCAGACTTCACAAGTGATGTCACAGTGAATATAATTGATATCAGGAAAAAGATACTTCTGCCTCATTTTCAAAATTTGGTAAGTTGCATTTTATGAAGTAAAACAACCGATGTTCTCATTCACCTTTAAACACTTTATATTTTTGGTCTCATATAGCATGAGTAAGCAGGCTAATTCCAAATAGTACTTCCACAGCTGACATGGGAAGGTAGAATGCTGTTTATCTATTCAAGATGAAACAAAAATTCCATACACCATATTTAAAGCACAAACCTTTTGTGTATGCAGAGCACGTGTTATTTCTATTAGTGACACAAGGGATTGGGAAATGAAGTACGTTACATTCTGCATTTGGTTATTTTACTATTTCAGCTCAGGTGCTTCACATAAAACAAATGTTACAAGTCAGAAATGGAAAAAAGTAGCTTATTTTCATATGACAAGAAGAAGAAAATGACAAGGCAACCCAACTACTTTGCAATGTAAATAAAGTACTTATAAAGAACTCTAAGAAACTTTGACAAAACTTAAAGTATTTAGGCATTTCTGTACTGTAAATGAAACAGTACTTTATGGCATTTGGGTGTGAATTATTAGGACATCTCAAACAACCAAACCAAATCACTCAGCCTAACTTTGTGTCCAACAGTTTACCTGAAGTAAATCACCACAGGGAAAAAAAAAAAAAAAAATCTTGCTCATAGGGTCTACAAACATCAGGGACAGTGATGCATGCCAGCTGTTCCCCTCAAAGTAACAACAGACCCTCCTCCCTCCAACAGCTACCATAAGGCAAGTAGAATTCGACTGACACAGGAAAAAAACCCAGGAACAGCATGGAAGCAATGTGAGGATTATACAAGTCTGGCAAAGGAATGATACTTTTACTCTGAAAGGAACTGCTTTGATTCTCTCATCTTCTGTACATTTAAGGCAGTTACAGTAAGCTTCTTACTATTATGAACTGTATGCTTAGCAATTTCAGAAAGCAAAATAAATTGGGTTTGGTGTCTAAGGAGAGAGTTTGCCAACACAGGTGGTGCAGGCACCACCTGAAAGGGAAATGTGAAATAAGCCATCAAGTTTTAGGTCTGAGAAAAACCTGTACCTTTTCAAAGACTGAAAGGTGATAAAGTAATTTATTCTCAACACAAGGAGATCCTATCATCTAAAGAGCAGCTTCAGCAGCAAAGTTATACACAGACAAATTACTAGTTGTGTATTGACAGCACGTTAATGAGAAAAACATTCAGGTTTATATGAATATACATGCCTGGCAAGAAGTTTTCTAGTTCTCCACGATACTTCACTGCCACACGTGTGAAGTGTCAGTTTTAAGGCATGATACAGCAAAAATACCAAATAACACCATACCAAAGGCTTCAGAGAAAATTCCTAATACCATTCAATAACTACTTTATACAATAGTAATAATAACAATTGTGCCTACCACTCCAAAATGCTGGTTTTCAATAATCAAGCTTCTCACAATGCCAGTCCCCAAAGCCTTTACCACAATGTCACTATATCTTTGTGACAAAGTCAATCAAACTTCACACAGCTGGGGAGAAGTTACTCTCTCCTCTTTGGCAGCTCCACACTTACCAGCTCTTCTCCTCTCATGATAAGGGGCAATGCCAAGACCAGGACCTCTTCCTAGAAAACTTCGCAGTACAAACATCTTTGACAAGTGGCTCTTGGACCACCTCATCCTTCATCCCCCTTCTCTGCAGTAGAGTACCCCCTTAATCCAACAACCTTCTGCCAAGATACAGCTTGTCATCAAACCATTAAAGAGACAGGTATACAGTTCCACTAACTCACTAGAGAAAAAGGAAAGATGGATGGAAAAAATTCAAGGAACTATTAGAATGAAGAAAATGAGGTAATCATGAGAACATTACAGGGAATGCTTGTAGCTTTGAAGAAACACATCACAGAAAGATCATCCATTAAAATAGTCTGAAGGCTAAAGGACATTGGTAGAATGGTTACAGCACTTTTCAAGGCCAGAAGGCTTGTTGCAGTAATCAAACAGGTGAGTCTAAGCAAGTTTCACTTGTATGAACAGACAAGAAAAGATATTGTTCAATTACACTAAGCAAAAAAAAAAAAAAAAAAAAAAAAAAAATCTACAAACGCCTGAAACCTCTTTCTAGGTATTTATGTCTACTATGTGTCAAAGAATAATTAGCTCCACACCTCACAGTGAAGGACAATTGAGACAGCACTGTTGTGCAGATCAATCAATACTGAAGAATATTAAGAGCTTTGTCTTAACCATGGTTGGTTTGTGAACATGAACATTTAGCTTTCAAATATTTCAAACAAGAGAAGATGAATACGAAGCAGAAGATTAAAGAATTATCAGTACCAAAGTAGTCATATACTTGAGTAAAAATACCTAGGTACAAGGAAGTAAAACATTCGCAAAACATTCACGTACAGTAACGGAAAAATAAAACAGATGGATTGTTTTCTCCTCATTCTTAAACACATCAAATCCACCCAAGAACAGCATTTCCATATCACAGACAGCAAACAAGGCAAGTAGAAAGACTATGGAATCCACTGACTTTCAGCAGAAGGATGCCAATTCCAGAAGGTACATGTATTTGTGCTGGTGTATAGACACTTCAAATGGAACCAGAGGAAAGAAAACTAACATCAGACAATGCAGCCAATGATATCAGAATGAGCAGAAAAGACAATAGTTCAGAATCAAGCTGATCTTGCTTAATATTATAGAAGACTGTATCACATTTTTATTGCAAGAAGAAGCAGAACAGCAAAGGATGAAGATGACACCTCTGGAAGGAGATGTAAGCACAAACTAAAAAGATTAGCAGGTGAGGGAAGTCACTGGAGTCAAGAAAGGGTCTAAAGAGAAAAAACAGAGAAAAAAGATCAGATGAAAAAATAAGGATGGCACCACACTTCCCCCCACCCTGACAGTCTACACGTTTCTGCAGAAATACAGAGGTAGGGGTAGAAACACAAGAAAAGTCAGCATCAAAAGATGTAATAAACATTGGTAACTTGGAATTTACCATTGAGCTTAATGTTTCCCACTAGAATGGGGAGGTAAAGTGAAGGTCTTGCACGACTTAAGACAGACATTCCCAAACTTCTGGTACTAAAAGAATATAATAAACCATCAAAGTTTATTATAAAGTCATTATAATAGCAGTATTTACACGCTGTCATTAAGTTTCTCACAAATAGTCATTACACGTTTGACTAATTAATATCATTCTTGAGACCACTTATCATGCCTCTTTGGGCACTGACACCTCACCTCGAGTTTGGGAGCCAATAGCCCAAGACACGCTGCATCACAGGATTTGTCACATAACTTAAATGTAATTATGTGGTTAGCTGCTTGTAGACTTCATGTTCAAAAGCTACATCTACAATAGATATTTGCTTCCTGCTGTTTAATGTTAATATCAGAACCGTAATTGCTAGTGGCACAGAGCTGAAACGTAAGAAAATCTTGAAAGATGAGGCCTCACACACTTTCATTCACCTCCTTCATTAAGGATGGGGCATTTCCCTCCTCCATTCACTAGCCAAGAAAAATGATGAGAAACAGAGACACACCTAGGGCAAACTTGGTTTTGCAGAGACTTTGAAGGAAGTTGGTCATTCCCAAAGACAAACTGTTGATGCCCACTGTCACTTAAACATTCTACACAACCTTAGAGAATACCCAAATCCTAAGGTAGTGCAGTCCATGTTTTCCTAGCCCTCTTCAGAGAAAAATGAAACTACCATTTCTCTACTTCAGAGGTTTTCAGTTTAAGAAAATACATGTATTATTATACCTCATCCCATTTTACACTGCCACCCCTACCAGCCCCTCAGCTAGAGGAAGGATTCACATGAGCGGAAGTTAAGAAAGGATTTACAACAGTCCTAAAGTTGTGGACCACGGGCCCAGTAAGCAACCGGACGCGGGAGGGGCACAGAGTGCCTCAGCACCGCCCCGGGAGACGCGCAGCGCCCGCTGCCACGCTCCGGTGGCGGCGGGGCTGGCTCCGCGGCGCCCGCCGGCGGCAGGGCGCGCTTTCCGCGCGCACGGAGCGCGGCAGCTCCGACCCACCGGCGGCCGCCGCCTCCGCCAGCCCGGGGCCCCCGCCCGGCGGGAAGCACCTGCCACACGCCGCCGCCCCGCTGCCCGGCCCCGGCCCCACCGCAGCGCGGGCACCCGCCCCGCCGGGCCGGCCGGGCTCTCCCTTTGTCCGGTCGCTCGCCCCAGAGGGGCCGGGGCACGGAGGGGCCGCGGGGCGGGGGCGCTTCTGCGGGCGGGCCCGCGGCCTGGCGCGCCCGCGGGAGCGGATCGCTCCGAGAGCGGATGGCAGGGCCAGGCTCAGGCCGGCGCCGCGGCGGCGCCGGGACGGCGGCCGGCACCGCTGCGCACCGCTAGCGCCCGCCTACCTTCGTTCGCTAGGTCCGCCATTTTACTTCCTCAATCACGCCCACAATGCATCGCGCAACCGGACGGTTTCCACTTACACCAGGCCCCACCGGGCAGCGCATGCTCCAATTGACGGCCGCTCCGCGGCGGCACCGCGCATGCGCAAGCGGCTCGCCTGCCGCGGGGCGGGGCGCGGCGCGGCGCATGCGCGGGGGTGAGGGCCGGGGGCGGCCGCTCGCCCGCGGGCGGGGGTCGCGGGTGTTGCTGCGCGCCCGGGCGGTTGCTGTGGCTCGGTGTTTCTGCGGGCCCCCAGCACCTGCCGCCGTCTGGCCGAGGCCTTCGGGGCCAGCTGCCCGCCGATCTCGGTGCTGTTTTGCCTGGCCCTGCACGCTGGTGTGCCTCCGCGGCCTCCCGTGGCTGCAGGACCCAGAAGTTCACTCCAGAGTTAAACGTATCCTTGATTACTGCTTTCGTTAGTACCACACGGTTACAGCCCTGCGGGATATACAGGACAGTATTTCTCCATTCAGCTGCTACGCTGTGACTGTAACACTTGGTGGTGCCTTGACCTGGCCTTTCCCCCAGGCAGAAGAATTAAAGCCCTTTCAGTTTATGGAAGCCTGCTGCTCCTTCCCAAAGGTCAATATTTGCTGTTCTCTGTGACTCTTAACTACCACCTCCAGATCTGCACACACTGCTCAAAATGTAGGTGCACCAAGGCTTTAGATGGCCACAAAAAGATACTGTATAGTACATAACCACACTGCTCTCATCGTTCTCCTGATGATGTCTCGTGTTTTGTCGGCTGCTTTGGTCAGTGCACCTGAGCTCCCCTGACTGACTACTCATTAGTAAGGGTTTATACTCATCAGTAAGGGAGTCAACAACAGCTAGCTTAGAGGTAGACACCAAGAGATGCACAACTTTTGTCTGACCCCTAATGATTGCGTCAAGGCAGTGGCACAGGGGAAGAACAGCATGCATGGTGCCTGATCAAATGATCCCTCGAGCTGTCACGCTAGCACAGAGCAGGGCTGGGCTCCTGCTCCCTTTTGCAAGTACCATGAATCTAAACCATCTGGTTTAGCTGCTAGGAGAATTTTCCATCAAGTGTACAACAGCAGGACTGGCAAAAGTTAGTGGGAATAAATGAGTGGCACAGATTTAGAAAAAAAACACAGGATACATATCTTTAAATCAATGTCTGTTTTCAGCATTTGGTGGAACTTTTCTGTAGATCAAACAATAATATTTGGAGCTGTTTGACTCCTAGTGCAAGCTGCATTACCTCTTGAATGAGCAACACAGAGGGCACAAGAAATCCAGGTGATTTCTAATGAGTGTTAGGGACAAATCCTTACACTTGCTGGATGGTCCATCTAATTCAGCTGGACCCTCCTGGATCCGATATGACCAAAGAAGGACTGTTTGGGGGTGTGATAATTGGTGGCAGTGTTGGCTGTAGCAACCATGGAATTTTGGCATTCAAGATCCTGAGGGGAGTGAGAAAGGCAAATGGCAGACCACAGATCCTTTGAGAGAATTGACATTGGGTTATTCAGGAATAGGTGAGGTGAGATTCTGTGGGAGGCTGCTCTGAGAGACAAATGAGCTCAAGAGAGCTGGCAGCTCATTAAGGACCTCTTCCTCCAAGTACAAGAGCAGCCTGTCTCAGCAATCAGGGAAATAAGTAGATGTTTTGCAAGACAAATTCAGCTAAACATAGAACTTGTGAATGAACAAAAGAATATGTATACAGGAGATGGAAGCAAGGACAGACTACTAAAGAGGATTATAGAAATACTTCTTCAGCATGCAGGGATGGTGTTAGGAAAGCCAAAGCTCAACTAGAGTTGAAACAAGGGCAAGGAACATCAAATGCTTTCTTTGTCTGACTCTCCACCAAGGAGGTCTCCCAGGCCTCTGTGCATAGAGACAGGGTTCAAACAGAGACAGGATCAAGTCAAGAATTTCTTGAGAACTCAGCTCTCACAAGTCCATGGGACCCAGTGGGCTATGTCAGAGTGGGCTGAAAGCTGGCTGATGACACTGAGCAGACACGATCCATCATCTTTAAAAGGTTGTGGAGATCAGGGAAGGCCACGTCCACATTCAAGGGGGCACTTTAAGCAACTGAAGACTTTCTTTAACCTCTCACTCAGCAGGCTACTGAGGCAGAAGAAGAATACCATTAAGACTGTTGCTTTTCACCCAAGATGGGTCCTGCCACCCTTGCCTGACTTAAATAAACTTGCCACTATGCAAAGTACTACATGGTTCTGAGTCATCCCCAGGGTCTCTGAGGGTAGGGCTCTGGCCATGGTATCCACAGACACCTGGAGGACACATAGCAAGGCTTCATAAGAACAGGAAAGAGGTTTGGAAAATTATTGTTTGTCTAGAAGTCCCAGCTCTTCAAGGCTGCTGAACACATTGACTTCCATGGGGATTAAGCATCTAAATTCTGGAGAGGATCCAAGACTTAAAAGGGACACAGCAGAGAAAATCGTTCAAGGAAATTAATAATAATTAATATTAATTAATTATACTATGTTTGATGCAGAGTCTGAATACAAAGTATTTGAATGCAAAGCCAGATGTGTAATCTCTCTAAAGGAGGCTAAAAAGGGACCCTGGGCAGTTAACTCTTCAGAGGACACCATTGCATCTGCTCCCTGAAGAGCAAAAAACTTTGAAAGAATTGGGATATCACTACTGTCTATCAAGTGTCCTATTCACAAGGCAACCATGAAAAGCTGAGCAATGTTAGTGTCCTCTTCATGTAAAATTTTGAGTGGTAGTCTTATACACAGCAACAGGATTTTCATCGTGATGAGTAAAGCTGCAGCTGCACCCAGAGACTAAATGCAACTTTAAAGAGACTAAATGCAACTTTTGACAACTAACAACAGCCAAAAAAATGTCCAGTCAGCATCTATGATAATAGGAGGTCTGAGGTCTCACATCATCTACCCAACAGTGCCAGTACTGGAATCTGAGAGTGGGCAGCGCAGAAAGTGAGGAGAAAGTAGCTGGCAGACAGGCCTTTAGGTCAGGTCTTTGAATATCTGTTGTTATAGTGAGCTGATGAACACCAACACTGCTAAATCAGAATTAGCCTCAGGCAATAACACCGAAACTCTGGCCATTAGGCTGCAGCATTTTTTATTTGATCCCAGCTGACTTAAAGCTGATTTTATCATCATCTCTGATCACGGCCTTAGACTTTGAACAGCTTTGTAAGATGTTTTTGTTTCGTGCATGTCCACTGACAGTTTGCAGGGCTAGGCACTAGTGCTGATAGGTCTGTGATGTCCAAATGGCAGCCTGAGTCTATGCGTGGGTCTAGACCTTGTCTCTTCCTCTTCCCTGGAGAACTGGATCACATTTGGTGCAGACAATTTGCAGAGAATTTATCCAAAAACATTGGCATATCTTTAATTACACGAAAACTGTCATTTTCAAGGATATACAATGTGGCTGACTGAGCTTCAGTTTTTATGGAATTAAGTTCCTGTCCCAAAGCAGACATGCCCTACAAACCGAGCCAAACACTAATATTGAAAAGGTGTGAGAGTAATTACCCATTATGTGAGCATCTAAAAACCAATAATTACCTTTCTAATTTAAGCCCTTATTCTGATACAGATATCCATTATGGAAAATTTCACTTCAGAGCATTAAAGCCTGTTAAACCTATAAGAAACTGTGAACATGCTTTTATCATGGAAATGTCGGGCAACTTTAATTATAGGAATTACTGTACTGTGCTTCTCTAATGAATATGTGGTACTAGCATAGTGGGTGGTGTGACCTAGTTAAGGGAAATGATTTAGCAAGAACATACCTCAGAAAGTTACACTTACTAAACCTTAAGAGCCAGCAGGTCACAGTGTGTTCTCTATTCATGTTCTAATTAGAGCCTATACTTCTCCAGCATCGTTAACATGAGAGAGGAAAATTAACAGTTTTATCCTAACAGATACTGGAGGCCAGATTCTGGTTTAATTTACCTTCAAGTAAGACATTAATAATACCAGGGTAAATGTGATTTTAGCACTTTATTATTTCAATAAAAAGTAAACTCCACCCATACCAACTTTACAATTCCTATGACTTTTAGAAATTAATTACAAGAGTTATCTGTGCCCTGTGAGCTTGTCAACTTGCTGATATAACTAGAATCTATTTTGGGTGCATGCCATTAAGAGACTATAAATGCCATACTTTCTGATTAGTACTATTGTTAGGTCAGCATTTCTAAAGGGACATGGCCTAAAAGTCTCTTTGACTTTGACAAATTATTTTTCCATGGCTGAGCTCAAAAAAAAAAAAAAAAAAAAAAACAAAACACAAAACCAAAACAACCCACCCTGTTTGAAGGCTTTTTAACTTCTAGACCTTCTACTTCAGATGTGTTGAGATCATAGCTGTAAGCATTCATCAACAGGGAAAGAAACAGGCTCTAGAGTGAAGATAGCAGCACAGGTAATCATGATCTCATTTCCAACTCTATCACTCTACCCGTGCCCTGGATGAGAAGGTAGTCACTAGATGTTCGCACAACATGTAGGTCAGTAGATCCACCACCTTGTCTGCTGTTGGTGGTAGACCTGGCTCAAGCAGAAAGTTGTACCAGAGGCTTCTGGTGGCTTTACCAGCACTTCTATGATTTTCAGTGACCATTATTAATTGGGAAGCAGATCTAGGACTCTGTGTAAGTCAGGTTCTGCTGGAATTGATCCAGTTTAAAATCTATTTTTTTAACTTGTCTCTGCACTGATGGAGTTATTTCTTAGAGGACTCATTCTTTATGGCACGAGAGAGCTGGCAGAGACAAGCAACCTCAGGAAGGATAGGGCTTCCTTTTTCAGCAGCAGCATGGGTTTCTGTCACACTCAATTGACCAATGTCACAGGCTTTCCCAGCTGCCAGACCATTTCTGTGGGTCTCCTAGACCCACTTCAGAATGTTTTGTTAGAATCCTGATCCCTCTTGTGATGGCTGAGATCTCCTGTGGCATTGTGACCCTAACCTGTGAGAAGCTGCTGTGTTAATGACATTGAGTTACTGAACAGCTGCCAAGCCACAGTTTTACAAATACTTGCTTGCTGGAAGTTACACCAA